AAGTCGTTGAATATAAAGTAAAATTATAAATTTTGATAAATGATTTAACTGTATAGAAAAAAATGCAAAGATGCACTTGGAATGCAAATATGTAATAAAAGTTTTCAGTTATTTACAGGTAATGGGTGTTTGACCTGAGAAACTTGGGTCTTTGACAGATTATTATGAAATTTCTACAAACATATAGAAAGAGGCAAACCGTATGTTAGTAAATATCCCAAAATACAAATTTAACCAAAAATGTTGACTATAAATGAATTTGGTTGCTGCATTTATAGATGACGAAAACAATACAAGTTGAAACACTTGAGAAATTTTCCGACAGCTTGAAACATTACTATTAAAGTGAATTTGTACCAGTATATTAAATATACTAAGGACTTTGTAAATCTACTTTTGCTTACTTAGATATTGACCTTGGCGCAACATTCTTAGTTCTGCTCTGAATTAATCATTTAATACATTTCCAAGAACACTTCCAATATTATATGAGACTTCAAAGCTACAACATTTTGTTTTAAGTGTGCTTTGGAATATATTTTTTTTCCTTTGTAACAATCAATACCAGTGATGCAAATGATCATAAGACGCATTTATATAGTTTTGCAAAAACTAGATTCATATTTAAAAAAGGAAGAAGTTCGAAGTTCACGAACATAATGACGATACAGTATGTTAATATAAATAAGAAGATGTGGTATGAGTGCCAATGAGAGAACTCTCCATCCAAGTCACTATGTATAAATAGTTAACAATCAGGTCAAAGTACTGTCTTCAACACGGAGCCTTGGCTCACACCGAACAGCAAGCTAGAAAGGGCCCCAAAATGACTAGTGTAAAACAATTCAAACAGGAAAATCAACGGTCTAATCTATATAAAATACGGGAAACGAGAAACACCTATAAACCACACCAACAAATGACAACCACTTAACAACAGGCTTCTGACTTAGGACAGGTGCATAAAAATGCAGCGGGTTTAAACGTTTTAACAGGCGCTAACCTTCACCATAACCTGAGACAGTAGTGTAACATTACAACATAAAAAGACACACCATAAAATATCAATTGAAATGGCTTAACGTTTAAACAAAAACAAGTAAACAAACACTGAACGAATAAGTTTGATCTATGACACAATATAAATACTATATTAAAACATAGGTGCCTATATAACATAGACGTTACATGAAGTAATAAAAATGATGTAGGGGAAGAGTGTCAATAAGACAACTCTTACCTGGGACAAAATGGCGTTAAATAAAACAACGTACACAGGTAAATTTCAATGTTATGATTTTGTTGTAAGGAGTACGGAAGTAAACATATTTTACAAAATTAATAAATTTGTTGTTCAGAATACGAGTACAGAAGTGGAAATTTATCGTCATACTAAATACTTATCAAAGGTGGTACGTATTAAAAATAGTGAGACGATATATAACACAAAATAAGTAAACATTGAATTACAGAAATGCATTACAAAATGTATTAATAGTTCAACTTAACATGAAAGTACGATTTGAGAGTACTCGTAGTTACTGAAAACTAGTTAAAGGCCAAAAACAATTAACAATAATAAACCATGCATCAGAGACTGAAATCGGTTAAAACACATCCCAGGGACTCAGTGTTTTAACGCCATGGACAGTCAAAGAAGACATGATTTGTGCAATGCCAAAATAAAAGTATCGACAGGCAGTAAGATCGTTAGGATATAACCTTATGATAAATATGTATCATGTTATATATAGATAAAGCAAACCCTAAATAGAAAATAAACGTGATGTGTATTTATACATCCCAAAAACCATTCCAAAAGAATACAGATTTAGTTATGTTTTAATTTGTTGATGACAAAATCGATGTTAGTGCCAATGTAAACAATATTCAAAGATCTTATTACAACATTAATAAGATAACCTTTACTAATAATTTTGTTTAAAGGGTCGATGAGTTTACACGGATCACATAGTGATTTCCGCGCTTTTAGTACAATATTACCGTAAAATTTAGGCTATGAAATACTGTTTTTAATAAGTTTTCTACAGGTTCAGCCAAATTTACTAATCAAATCTTTGTATCTATGAAAGAATTTAGTAAATGTTTTAAGTAGTTCATGGTAACGAAATCCCTGACTTAATAATTTACCAGTGATGCATTGATTACGTTCGTTGAAATCTATGACATCACTACACACACGGTGCATAACGAACGGGTTGGGATATATAAACACCGTATGATGGAGCCAAAAGCACATCGCTGTCTAAAAAAGGAAAATTAACAATAGGGAATGAAAAGTTTGCCTTTTTCGTAAATTTTAGTATGTAATTTCCCTTTAGAAATTGAAATGTCTTAATCTAGAAAAAGACAACTACTGCTGTTTATGTGAGATTTATTTAAAGTAAGTTCCTTTGGGTAAATTTCGGTAGTATATTTAGAAAATTCTGGATTATTTAACAAAAAAATATCAACAAGATAACGGTAGGTATTGTTGAATTTGTCAACCAAATGTAACAATGACGTGTCCTTACTGAGTTTAGCCATAAACTGTGCTATACAGAAATAAATCTGCTATTAAAGGAGCGCGCGTAATTGGTGCACATAGGAATACCTACTACCTGTCGATACACTTTAACGCCTAAACGTACATATATGTTGTCAAGGAGAAAATTTACAGCTTCAATCATATCTTCACATTTCCAGGAAGTGTATCTAGCATATTTTCATTTTTCGCTACAGAAAAAAGGCTTTAAACAGTTACAGCAAATAAATTTGCAATGAGATTTTTCAAAAGACCATTTAATTAAATATGAAAACAAGTTTGTGTGGAAGTGTAGTGTAGAGAGTAGAAAAATCATAACTGTCAACAGAATTAAAAGGACCATCAAAAGCACGTATTTTATCTAAAACCTCTAAAGAATTTTTAACACTCCAAAAATAATTAATACCATTATTTTCATAAACTTCATAACAAAAGTTTATAATAAGCTCTTTGATAGTAGTAAGGGAGGTAGTTAGAAGCACTGACAGGTGAGTAGTAGAACACTTACTAGATGCGGAGTTGAAACGAAATTTAAATGGTTGTTCATGTCATTTAGGAAACCAGTACATAGTCGGGACTTTCAAATGTTTGGAAGAGGCTTTAAGCTGAGTAGTGGCAGTGATATGCTTGTTTACAATTTGACTCTCTGTAGAAGAATTGATAATTTCGTTTTGGAGAACTTCCGTGTAGTATATTCGTTACACCACCACTACATTATTGAATGATTCGTCTGCCGGTACGAACACAAACCGCTTTGCGAGTACTTGGGGTTTATTCTTTATTCTAGAAATGGGTATATCATGAACCCTATTATCAATTTCAGAAATGTTTTCAAAATGAGATATACGAATATCAACAGTATTCATAATTTTATTCAAATAACTGTCTAGACATTTTTTATCAAATTTTTCACGTTAACACCAATTTGTACAGTAGGCAGACAGAGCGTCTTTAATGACATGATGACACTGTTTCCAATCTATAATAGACGGAGGACGATATTTAGGTCCTTTCTTTAAAAAAAGTTTTGACCTCACGGTCTTTTACGATGTTTTAGGTCTTCGAAAGCAGTAAAGGTGCTCTTGATTTCTTCTGTAATATTCTCGTCCCGTCTGTCCCACATATTGAATACCACACTTAGGCTGGGTTCAAGTTACCAGATAAATAAGGTTTTTGGTTTTTCAGTTAATGTCACAGGAAAAGGGAAGCGAAAAAGCTCTCCCGTTCACTATTAACAGTATTATGAGAAGTTAATCTAGAACAGGTAAGTCATTTTCTGGCATTGCACGGAAAATTTTAGGATATCCACGTGCATTTTTGTTTCACAATCTGGCTGCAGAGACACAATTGTACACAGTGCTAAATGTACACAGTGCTAAATGTAGTCGGATAATTTTGATAGGCTGCTGTAGAATTTATATTAGAAATTCGATTTTTTAAGCACGTGGATATCCTAGAAGTAGGATTGTTCTTTAAATTTCTTTAACCTCATTTTACAAGTCTTCTTTTGTTTTAAAACAACTCAAAATGTGAGACCGTAAAATATCCAACATATTCGGTACATCCATCAATAACCATAAAATATCCAACATATTCGGTACATCCATCAATAACAATACTTTTGGAGATAAAAAGGAGGAAATAAGTTTCGGCTCTATGGTGCTAAACTAAACATTTGGTAACCTTTTATTTTTGTAGAAGGTGTATTTCAAAATGGAATTTTATTAAATTATTTGTAACAAAAACTTATTTTCTGAGGGTTTGGTGCCATTGGTAATCAATCAGCATGAATTGTAATATCAACGTATAAAATTAAAAAAAACTGAACCGGAAAATGTCGCAATGGTGTAAGGGAGGTTCATAATTGGCTTTCGTGGAACAGTTTCAATCAGTGCTTCATTTTTTGTGCATGCGATGTATCTAAGAAACATATACCACTAGTACAACAGATAATGGAATTGTTTAACAGGAGGTTTCAGTACGAACCCAGAAATGTTTTTGATAAATGATTTTTCTGTAATTTAATTATTGTTTGTGACATGATATCACATCCCAGTATCCAACTTTTGAATCACTCGATTGATTAGCAAATAATTAGCAACGAATATTCATATCAGCGTTCGTTATGTACTTTTCGACAAAGAATAGAAAACTTAAGTGTTTTTCTTGCCCAAATTTGTTAATTGTTGGTTTCACAAAAATTGTGTGTTCGATTTAAAATTTATGTTATATACATACTCGTACATCATTTTAAATCCTTTGCTCGCAACTATGTAAAAGTAAACAAAGATATGTAAAATATGCGTAAAATTTATAAATTTCCGACAATTGCTAATATATTGACACACTACTCTCATTAACCTTATACGTGTACCTTCATAAACAATAGTGTTATATCCTGTAATACTTACAAAAGTCAACATGTATCTATTGATTTCCTTGATTTAACCTAATTTAGAGATGGCATCGAATATTTTAGTATTTATATTTGTTTTGTTTATACAAAAATTAGCGAGGTCTTTAACGATGGATACCTTAAATGCGTGTTTAGTAAATCTGAAAGGGTAGGTATTTTAAATTTTTATTTGGGATTTTAATGTCATCAGACAATTTAACGAAAAATACGTTTGACGATTCTTTTTGTATCAGGAACTACCTAATATGGTATACTGAAAAATGAGACAGAGCTAAATGTTGCTGCATTTCAATCGTCTCTCCGTAGTTAGGCTTTGCTTACTTTGTTATAACAGATTATCGGTTTCAAGCCTGTTAAATATTCGTTATACTTACAAATGTTAAAACTTGCGTCTTAAGTTTTCAAGAAAATGTATTCTTTCAAGTACACACTTAAACATATTTATCTGATAGAAATATTTGCTTGTCCGAAATAAAACTGTTGAGAATGTAATATTTGAACAATTACAAATCTTAAGTAGTTAAACCGAGACCAAATAAAGCCGAGTTATGATGGGCGTTTACCGCATTGTCCCAGGTTAGCGGAGACTTTGGGCGCTTACAAACATGTTAAACTCCAACACAATGCATTATTCTTTATGCGCTTGTCCAGGTTAGGGGCCTGCTATTCACTGATTGTCATTTATCGCTGTCAATCATGTTTGCTTTTCGTTTATTTTTTTTGTCCTTTTTTTATTGTGTGTCATTACCTGGTCTTTCTAGCTGACAATGCGGTATGAGTTTGCTCGTATGGTGACCTATAGTTGCTTAATACATACAAAAATAAGAAGTTGTGGTATAATTGCCAATTAGACAACTCTCCACAAGAGACCAAATGACAAAGAAATTAACAACTATAGGTCACGGTACGGCATTCGACAGTGAGCAAAACCCATACCGCGTAGTCAGCTATTGAAGAATCCGAAATGACAAATGTTAAACAATTCAAACGAGAAAACTAACGGCCTTATTTATGTACAAAATAATGAATGAAAAACAAATATGATACACAGAAACAAACGACAACCACTGAATTACAGGATCCTGACTTGGGACAGGCACATGCAGAATATTAATGTGGCGAGGTTAAATATATCAGTGGGCGCCCAACCCTCCCCCTAACCTGGGACAGTGGTTTATCAGTACAATATAAGAACAAACTATAAAAACCAGTTGAAAAAGGCTGATACAAACAGAAATACATATAACAAAAACACAGAGTAGACGTGGCCGGGTACTTATACATCCCCATAACATAAAGACACTAAGTACAGATCTGATAGCTATTTCAAAGCCAATACCAACTAATAAAAAAATCATAGATCTAAGACTACATCCATACATTTAAATGCTTGTAGATAGTTGTCTCATTGACAATCATACGACATCTCCATAATGTATACTTGTATAATGAATAATGAAAATAAGTTTTGAGTTATATATGCTAATTTGAATAGTTTTTGAAATAAAGTTTTCAATATAAACCAATAAATTAAGGTGACAGTAATTTATCGATGTAATAACTCATTTCTGTCTTTTTGTTAAACATTTTGTTCTGAAAATGAAGTCAAAGCGACGTTATTAAATGTCCAAATTTAGTCGGCTGTGTTTAATGAAATGTGAAATTAGACCTGATTTACATATTTTGCAAGTTTACTCCACACATTTGTGTTGATTTTGCAAGATTATTGGACTTAAAGCTTTTGACTACCCAAACAGTTATATTTATAAAATATTGAATGTCTTTTGATACAATAAAGTAGAAAGGGGGATCCAAACTATTTCTCTTTAACCTCGTACTTTCTTTGGCCTTTTAAGTTTTTTAATTCGAGCGTCACTGATGAGTCTTTTGTGGACGAAACGAGCGTCTGGCGTACAAAATTATAAGCCTGGTATCTTTGATGAGTTTTTTTTTTATTTACGCTATAGTCGGTTTTTTCGTTTGTACTAGTTTGTTTGACCCTTGGTCTATCAGTCTTTTTTGTCGCCTTCGTTCTGTTCTGTGATGCATGTTTAATAGATCTAGGTATGACACAGTAATTTGTGTAATATCCATAATTTCAAGTTCATTGTGACATACAAGATGTACAAACTGTTTCTACTTATTGATAACAATTTGTAGAACTCGTACTTTTTAATGCATTCTATATTTCATATTGGCATACATACAAGTCCCAAACGTTCTAATCAGTAAAATGAGAATGCATAATTAAAACGATAAACATTAAATACGCATTCGGTAGAACTAATGTTTTCATATCTGTTTCAGAAAATATCAATGTTGCGCCGACTACGAGGAAAGAAATGATGCTTGCTTTGGTAAGATTTACATGTTGTCAATTCAACGGAATTAATGCAAATAGATTCTAGCAATTAATTGGATATAAATATACATATATATAAATAGCTGTCACCTTGACAGGACACCGAAGGTAACCATTTTTGAACTTAAGAGTTCAGCTAGAACGAATGAAATCAATGTATCCTAATGTATGAAACTCTCATGCTTCTTTGACCTGCCATATGCTTTGCTGATTTCCCAATCTAATAAAGATCAAGTGTCCAGAACAGTAAAAGTGAAAACAGTGAAAATCAAACTTGACCTCCATTTTGTCATCTGTAACAACCTATTAAAATTCGAAAAGCATTAGTTGAATGGTTCATAAGGTAATGCACGAAAACGACAGCAATTGTCATTTTCCAATCTATCAAGGACCATAACACATGAGCAGCGAAAGTGAAAATTGTCGATATCAAACTTGACCTCCATTGTGTCATCATTAACCATATATCAAAATTTGAAAAAAATTAGTTAATGAACGGAAACTGTTTGCAAACCCCGCCTATAAGATCAACGCAGGGTTCGTGTGATTTTGGTAACTTAAGGATTCAGTATGAACCGAATGAACTTAACTTGACTATTTCGTATAAAGCAATTTCTTTGTATCTGTCCTAGATGGTCATGCTATTTCAAATATCTTTTGTATCGTCTTTTTGAGATTTGCAAAACTTCGTCATGCTGTATTATATAGGATTTACAAATAAATAAATGCTTATACAAACTTTAAATAATACGCTTTTATAATGCAAATGCGAAAGATATATATATATATCTCAAAATGACCGTTAGAAAAACATATACAATCGATTGTATCCATTTTTCAAATACTTATTCCTGTTTTAAACAAATGAGAAAAAAAGATACCAAGGGGGCATTCAAAAATCACCAATCCAATAAAAACAGACATTTATCATTGCAAAAAAAGGAGGTACCAATTACCTCTCAAATCTGTATATCACTGACATATTCCGTAACCTACATAAGGTGATGATTGTAGTCGAAAAAGGGTTCCATTGGATGGCTAAACGGGTTATGCCTATATCAATTATATTATTCACAGCTATGATATAGAGATATCAACTATAAATTAGATTGTTTTATGTACGGTTCACTGATTACATCAATGAAATTGATTTAAAAGGAATTTTTTCTTAAAAGTAAAAGGTTTACTGATTACACCAATATATTTGGTTAAAAAGTTGATTTTCTTATTAGTCATTTGGTACCTTATGTAATTGTTTTAAACGACGCATACGAACAAACTATCAATATATACGTATGTGAAACGGATATGTATCAATGTTTATCTAAACAATTATAGTTATAACATAAACCATGAAAAAAATTGGAACACTTTAACTTAACTTTTGATATTATGCTTTCAGTGCATTCATTTTCTACAATCACAATTTCAAAGTTGAAAGTTTGACGTAAAATATTGAATCAAACATCTTACTTACTTTTAGTATGCTTTGGTTTAGGAAATTATGTTTTGGCATCGCACAGGATCATGTTTTTCTTTGACTGTTTATGATATCTTTATTCATAATCCATAGGATGTGTACTGATTGATATTTTAGTCTTGGATACATGATGTTTGATTAGATTTTAAAGGCTTTGAACTAGCTTTCATTAACTGCGACTACTCTCAAGTCGTTACTTTGTGTCTTAAGGTCATACGATACAGTTACAGATGAGGTAATGACGTTGCTAACGTAAAATGTTATTTTTCACGACGTCAAACTTTGATATATCGGGAAAAGATGCATTTTGGACTGATTTTTATCATTCAGACTGATTTAACTGGAAAACGAGTTCATGGACCCCTCTTTTTAAAAATGACATTTGGCTTGATTATGTTTGAAGATTAGTTGTGTCAATTTTTATGAACAAATCACCGATGAAATTTTTTCAAATTTGATAAATATACAGTATAAAATGCCGTTTTTTGACTAAAATCATAAAAATGTGATAAAAATGAATAATTTCCAAAGAATTGTTTCACAAATTCAAAGCACACTTTATATAGAACAGATATTCCAGATGTTTTTGCAAAAATTTGCTTGCGTTTATCTTTTAAACCAAAAAAGTTAGGTATGTCTTTCTAAAGGATAGAAATGTCCAAGAAACCGAAATTTCCAGTAAATGTCTAAAATTTCGACCCCATTTATCTCTAAAAGTAGCACATGAAAGTATTTTTTTTATAACATATCTGAATTGACTAGCCTGAGTAGGTGAAAAATAGCTTGTATGCAAACTTTCGTCAAAAATTCACCGTGAGATCAAAACTGTATCGTATGCCCTTAAGACTTTTTGTAAGTTGCTTATCTTTGTGTGTTTTGTGTCAATCTTATGGGTCAAGCCTTTATCAACTGGCTTTTATAGTTTGATCTGATGGTCTGCTGTTACACCACTGTCCCAGATTAAGTGGGCGCAAACATGTTATGTTAACCCAACATCATGCTGTATGTGCCTGTACCAATTCAAGAGCCTGAATGAGCAACACTTATTTGGAACTTTTGGTCCTCAATGCTCTTCAACTTTGTACTTGTTTTGGCTTTCGAACTTTTTTGATCTGAGCATCTCTGATGGGTCTTATGTAGACGAAACGCGCGTCTGGCTTATTAAATTATAAGCCTGGTACCTTTTGATAGCTATTATTTGTGTGTGTCTCTGTCCTGTATGTTTTCTCATTTATTTGTATTGTAGTCCTGTCATGTAATCTTGTCATTTTAATGTTATATTTGCCGGGAGGTTTGGCTAGCCACAAAACCAGGTTCAACCCACCATTTTTTTTTTAAATGTCCTGTACCAAGTCAAGAAAATGGTCATTGTTATATTATAGTTCGTTTCTGTGTGTGTTGCATTTTGGTGTTGTGTTTCTGTTGTGTCGTTGTTCTCCTCTTATATTTGATGTGTTTCCCTCAGTTTTAGTTTGTAACCCGGATTTGTTTTTTTCTCAATCGATTTATGAATTTCGAATAGCGGTATACTACTGTTGCCTTTATTTATCCGTGCAGAAATTTTTATTAAAACTTTGCTTTTCATTTATTTGATGAATGGCTTTTCTTGAAAGAATCGCGCAAAAACAGTGTATACAGCACCTATAAAAAAATATTTGATTATAGTTGAACGGAAGAATTTTCGTAAGTTAACATTTTGTTATTCGTATTTATGGATAAAGGATATAAACTCCGCATTACATGTTTTCAGCATGTAAAACTGGATTTTATTCGAGAATGGGACAACCTTGTAATTCTTGTCCAGAAAACTTTTTTGGCAAGGCCTGTGTGTTGGAATGCAACTGCGACAGTCTACAAAGGTGAGATAATAATAATAATTACAAGAACAGATAATTATTCATCATCGTTAAAACAATGAAATAAAATGTTTAGACGCGGTTCAGAGGTATTTTATCTTATTAAAAAAATAGATAATATTCGTAAATAAATTAGAATTCATCATTTGAGGATATCTTGATTCATCGAATGGTTTCGGTCATTTTTTTCGTTTTGTAGATCATGTGTTGCTAATCATTTTTGCTGTTTACTGTTTCTAACTATCTATTATAAGTTTCAAGATGTAAACAAAAGAGAGGTGGGGTATACCAAAGGGACATTAAAACTCAAACACAAACTGACAACGCCATCGAAAGAAAATAACCGACCAAAAGACAAACAACAGTCTACAAAACACAACTTAGAAAACTAAAGACTTATCAACACGAACTTCACACAAAACCGGGGGTGATCAGAGGTGCTCTGGAAGGCCAAAAACATCCAAAAAATAGTCAAAAATCGTCATGAATAGGAAGGGTCGATAGGGCGATAAGGTAAATTTAAAAAATGCTCATCACGAGCTAAAATACCTGTTAAAATAAATTACAACTTTTCTTAAGTTATTCTTCATGAACTTTTTAATGTTTTCGGAGAATTCGTGTGTGGTCTTTGGAATTGTTTTTTTTTTAAATCCTTGTTATACTTGGAATGTATTTTTCGTGACAAGATGATTTCGAAGAAAAAGGGACCTATCATAATTTTGCACCCTTTCTATGTCTGAATGGATTCATGTTTAAGAAAAATATATTCATGATTATAACATGTTGATGATGTTAGGTGAATATAAACCCTTCTTTGAACTAGACCGACACAAAGAACATGATTTGTAACTTGTTCGTGATGTTTCTGTCCACATGAATAGGTGTCACCCAATTGCTACTCAGATACATTGTTTAGACTACATCCCCATCAGTCTATACTCTTATACTCCATACTCTTACTTTTAAATGCAGCGTCATCAGCGGAAAAATAACAGCAATGGTTTTAAATATAAAAAAAGGTGTGGTATGGTTGTCAATGAAAAACTCTCCACCAGATACTAAATGACGTAAGAATTAGCAACTTAATTGTATATGTTTACTAACGGACTTCAACAACGAGCAAAAACCAATACCGGATGGCAAGCTATAAAAGGCCCCGAAATGTAAAATGTTAAACAATTCAAACGTGCAAAACTAACGGCCTGATTACAGTCTGGTTTGACACAACACTGGATCGAATACATAGACTCCTGCACTAGCGATGAGCATGCTACCACGAGACAATCGTTGTCCTATATTGTCAACATGAACCTCGCGATGTCAACCGTATGCTATTTTCGAAGGTCTTTTTGAAGCGTATTGTTCCTTTGAGTTATTAACAATTCTATTGCAAGAAAACTTTGATGAGGTTTTCAAAGCAACGCCTTTGAAATTTGCAAGTAGTATTAAATTCTAATAATAAAATATAATGACTTTTTAGACATGTATATATCTTCAGATGTGATAATATCATTGGATGCATATCTAGACAGACAACCACTTTATCAACAGAACATCATTATTCAGGTACACTACACGTATGCTTTACGATTTTAACTGACGTTTCAAATTATCGATTGAACAAAATGTAAGAGAACGATTAAATGTAAAACTTATAAGAGATGTAGTGACAGAGTGACTAGTATCCTAATTGTGATCTTTTTTTTTATCATTTGTGTGTGTCGCCATTTTTGGGAGGTTTATTTTACAATTGAACAAATAGCAACCTACGCAAAACATATAGCTGAACTGATATTGGCTCATTTTGCAAATATACTATATAGAGGAGATCACTAATCTTACTGTGTGGTAATGCATAAACCAAAAATACACTTTTCCCCAATTTCCACCGTTCTGTTGGGGAGTATGCATGGATGTCAAAAGATTTATTAGATAGCAGCAAAACACAATTACAGTTAATAAAAGATAATTTGATCCAACGTTTGTCCATTTCTAAAATGTTAGTCAAATGTTTCTGGTGGTCAAAACAAATATTGGAAATCCAAAATCATAAAGAGTTAGATAACAATATTTAAACGGATAGTATCTTAATCAGATGGCTGACAAAGGCTGACAAATGAACTGAAAATGTTTCCATCTTGCATATAATTAGCACTTTCAGTAATCTCATTTGTGATTGTTTTTTTATTGAGTAGTTATGTATTTTGCCTTCTTTTTTTAGTGTCCGGCTATTACCAGTCCTCAAAGTTAATATAGGCCTAAATATCGATGGCACATTTTTCACAGAACGTTAAACAAAAAAAAATCAATCAATCAATCAAATTTAATTACTATGAATAAAACGAGATGTAGGGTAAGTTTCAATATGACACGAACCAAACAGCATTACCAATATAGACATCTTATGTTATTAACATTAACTCCAATAGTATATCAAAACCTCATCTCTGATTGGCATACTTTTGAAATTTTTAAAGAATGAAGCTGCTATTTGATTACACGATATCAAATATTGTATTCATTGTTTATGCTTAAGGTAGCTAGGATGTCTAACTGTTTGACGATAGATTTTTCTTAAACTTCTGTTTAAGACTTCTTTGTCAATGTCCTTTCTAAAAACTGGGAGTCACGACCTTGTTTTTTCGTTACAATACATAGAATTTAACGATATCATAGTTATTTTAAATGGGTTATATAGGGAAAACTACTTTTTTCCTTATTGAGGAAAAAATTAACGATAGAATTTGTTTATATCCAATGAGAGAATTGCTTTTCACAAATACTTCCGCGATATCAAATAAAAATAGTGGGTCAAGGGCCTTTATTCCTCGAAAAATCCAAAAAACACAAATTGTCCTATCGAATTCAATATAGTTATCTGTCCTCGATTGAAAGGGATTTCTTTTTCTGCAAATTTCAAATACACTTAACGACACTTATTTATTTCATAGTTTAGTCTGTAAATTTCAAGTTTAAGATGTTTCTGTTGTATACTGAAAGATACTTGGAAAAATATTTTTAAACCAAAAACGTATTTTTGCAAAATGCCCAGAATGCTCAGAAAAACCCTATGTACCTTACATATCAACTTTGAGCACAGTATAAACCACCAGAGATGTTTTTTAACAACGATACAACTGGTAAATTGTTTGGTAAAATCGATACAAATAGCAGCTAAAGAACACTAGGGCCTTCACAATGGGGTTACATAGAGGGAAAAAGGCAATGGCTACACGGCTAGTTCACTTGCAGACGCCCATCAATGCAAAAAATAAATAAATAAAGAGGATTAACAAGGTATAGAAGTGTTTTGATTAAGTATAGGTTTTTGATAGGATTCTGGGCCAGCCCAACGACGCCAAATAGCACTGGCGTAAATCGAATGCACACCTTACAATAATATGTGTTTTAAAGAAGACAGGGGAAAACATGACTAAATTTCGGAATCGAAGACCGATATTGGTGAAGTTGAGTTTTTGGATTGCTCTCTATTTGACATTGTCTTCACATATCTAATTTCAAACGTTATATACAACAAAACTGGAAAAAGGGGTTACAAAATGAAGCCTCATCAAGACTTGAGGGTAGAAAGGGGTGTTGATGAGAGGTAGAAAATATAAAACGGTAAAAACGATTGACTAACGACGGTTCCTGTCGTAGATTTGCACTGTTAACCCAACACGTATTGTCATATTCCCACTACAGGGAACAGGAAATAGGTGTCTGACAGAAAAGCGTTTACAAGTAACAAGTCGTCATTGCCAATTCCATGGAAACTGAACACCAGATTTGAAGTTATTCTGTACAGTAGTGCATGAGAATCGTGTGATGAAAATATTAAGTTGCATCAATATATTTAAAATCAAAAGTTTCAGCAAACAGGATGTAAGTGTCAGACAGATACAAAAAGCACTTAACAACTCATTATTGTCAGACTTTTTACCAGATATGAAGTCACTTTGTTCAATAATACATGAGAAAAGTGTGACGAAAGTTTTTTGTTGGACTAACGGACGGACAAACGGACTAACAAGATAATTGTAATACTCCCCTCCCTTTCCCATTAACATGTCCATCCCCCATCACAAACTGAAAGCTAGTTAATTGGCACATATAAGGGGAAAAAAACATTATATCTCTCTTTGGATAATATTCTTGTTGCGGGCATAAAAAATCCGCTATTATAAAGAAACGTTTTGTTGCCGCTTATGTCATGTTACAAAACTAGAAATGTGACAGGTAAGAGACTTTTCTAGATATCTCGACGAAAACCTGTATGTGTGTTTGTGTGAGTTTGTGTATGTGAGTGCTTGTGAAAGGAAAAGAGACATAGAGAGAGAAAGATAATGTCAACAATGTGATTGCGCAATAACATTTCTTCTAAATATATTTGAATTGATTGGGTTTTTTTCTTGTAGTGAACACAATTGAGGCAACAACAATTGAAAAAGAATTTGAAGAGGACGAAAAAGGTTTTTTAAGATCTTTTAGTTGATTCCTGTATCACTTACATTAAATGCATAAAAAAAACCAACTACATTTTTCATATTACATATCACACATGTGAAGTCATTTGGAAATTTCGAATAAGAGAATTTTCTTATATTCATGCATTCTTCGACCACAACTTTGGTATTTATCAAATAAAAAGTCAAGTTATGATTGCAATAAAAAGTCGTTACGTTGTATACCAAACAACAACACAAATTGTATCATAATTTGTATTTTAGAATATTGGAATAACATAATCAGTACCAATTTTACTGCACCAGATGCACATTTCGACAATTAATGTCTCTTCAGTGAAGCTCGAGGTCAAAACATATGAAATTTCCTAATGAATGAAGAGCTGATAAAACCAAAAAGGGCAAAAAGTATATCACAAGCAGGGCAAAAAATCTGAGCTTTGGATGATGGAGATATATTCCTTAATTTAAAATAATTTCCAATATTTTGTAACAGCAAATGTTAATAACACAATATCCGTATTTTCATGCCAGTGCCGAAGTACTGGCTACCGGGCTGTTGATACCCTCTGGGATTAACAGTCCACCAGCAGAGGTATCGACGCATTGGTAGTAACGGTACCAATTTTACTGCACAAGATACACATGTCTTCTTAGTGATGATCGAGGCTAAATTATTTAAAAATCCAAAACTTATTAAAAATTTGAAGAGAAAAGGACAAATTGTATAGCCAAATCCGAGCAAGGAATCAGAGCACTGCATGAGGAGATATATTCCTTAATTCAAAATAATTTCTAAAATTTCAATAACGCAATATCCGTAAAAGTATGCTCTAACTTCATACAATGATTTTTGAATTATATATACGATTTCGTATGAGGTATGTTAATGTAATACAATAATATATAAATGAGCTCAACTCTCTTATTTGACATAGTCATCAGCATGCATGGAACTTTGAATTTAATGAAAAAATGTCATTGATATTGTCATATTTATTAATTGAATGTTTATAAAACTTTGAACTGTTCGAAATACTTTATTTGGCCTTTTAACTTTTTGTATTCGAGCGTCACTGGTGAGGCTTATATGGACGAAACGCGCGTCTGGCGATCAACATTATAGACCTGGGTCTATGCCACTGCTGGTGGAGGTTTCCTCGCTGATGGTATCACCAGCCCAGTAGTCAGCACTTCTTTGTTGACATGAATCATCGTTAATATTGTCAGATTTTAAAATTTAACTGTTTATAAAACTTTGAATTGTTCGGAATACTCAGGATTTTCTACTCCAGGAATATTTCAAAACCTTTCGGAATCTTTGGCCCCCAGTGCTCTTCGACTTAGAAATTTATAATGCCTTTTAACTTTTTTATTCGAGCGTCACTGATGAGTCTTATGTAGATGACTTACAAAATTATCAAAGGGCATTATCTACGATTTATACATAAAAATGAAATACGATTTTTGTTTTTGTTTTAAGTATGAATAAAATTTTGAACTAACATTTCGTTATAAGCAGTCAGTTTGGCACAAATTTGTCAAAATAAGCTCAAAAACATCGCTGATGTATTATTGAAATGCAAGTCAATAATTCAACCTCATTGAATACGTATTCATGTGACTTTCAATCGAACTCCTTAGCTGGAGATGGGTTACGCATTTACTAGGCGTGTTCAGCTATTAAAAGGAAAAGAATGTCAACATTGAAAGTGAAACAAGGGTGAACCATTTGGTTGACTGATTCGATCCACAAAACGTCATTCTTATACAGGTAAAAATGATTAACTTATTTTTTAACCTATGATATGAACTCAAACAGACTTAGAAAAATCTAATTGCACGCGCTCGCAATTTATTTATATCTATATTTATGTTTATTTTGGGTTATATGACTGTCGGTAGTCTTCGGAGGTCATCTCGATGGTTGATTAGATGGCGTCTAGGCTAAAATACACGAGAAATGCTGATACATATTACCGATTTCATTTTTTATTTTAGACTTTTTTTGTAATCTGGATTTAAGTTTTAGTATGTAATAAATCAAATATGAGAATTTGAGGAAAATCGATGAACTCGAATTTGACAGGTCTGAACACGGAAACACGTGAAATAAAAATCGCAAAAACGTTGCACGGAAAATAAAAATCGGGAAAAACGAAGCACGAGAAATAAAATTGTAAATATTAAGGGAAAAAGTACTAGAAGTTATTACTCAGCCGTTCTTGGAGATCATGCAGTCATTATTAAAGGACATGAAGACCCTGCGGTCACCTTTTAGCGTCCGCTAGTTGTATCTGATTTGAAAAAAAAATATTATTCATAGTTATACTGTTATTTAAGTACTCTATAAATGAAGAAAAGCAGTTCATTAATACATAATTTAAAACAATATCCGGGCTGACTTTAAATTAGTCCCGGTTTACTTTTTAATCAATAGCGAGACAAGCACGAGAAATAAAGAGTACGGACACGAAACACGGAAAATAAATAAGGGGAAACACGAAGCACGCACATCGAACCAAACACGAGATTACGAGAAATAAAACATCAAAACACGAAAACACGTTAAATTAAAAGGCCGAAAACGTTGCACGAAAATAATCCTTTACCATCCTCTTATAAATCTCTTTTTTTCTGATAAATGTGAACCATTTCTATTGATCAGGAATTTCCAAACGAGACTTGTTTATATATTCGGGGTCAGTTACTGGCATCATTGTGATTATTGGGCTTTATTGTTGTTACAATAAAAACAGAAGGAAAACAGTCATCACTTCTACATCAGCAATTATCAATGATACTCCTCCAGCCGAAAATGATGGTTTTAGAAATGAAACATTTGAATTGAATGAAAATGTATACCATACGATTGATGAAAACAATATGGTAAATTTAGGTCCACACGAAAACCCATATTTAGAAGTGGTAGATGAATCACCAAGTTCTGATAAATTGACAAGCAGTTCTGAAAGCATGAAAAGCAGCAATAGTTCCACATCTGGCTACCTTCACCCGTATCACAGCTTCATTGCTACATCGAATGATCATCCATATTACCAAACCCAACCTGTTAAAGAAGCTAATGATCCAACCACAACCAATATTACAGACGATCAATACCAGGAATGCGTCACTCCTCTCGAAAAAATGACTGATATAGTAAACCATTCGCAAGGAACTACAAATCAGGTTATTAAAGTTATTGTTCATAAAGGTGAGAGGAGTTGTTTGGACTCTGAAAAAGACGAAACTATATCTTCTCACAATAAAGAAGAAATTGTCAATTCAGAACACTAATATTACAAAAAGAGTTCGTGTCCAACTGAATCTGAAAATGAAGAAAATATAACCTCATGAGTCAATAAACTCATCATAGATACCAGGATTGAAATCAGTTGAACTCTTAGGTACACTTACAAATTGAAACTTCACATTTAACAGATTATAGATAGAACCTACCAATAACAGTTGCAAAAACAGATTAGAATATTAAAGATGATGTGATTACATATTAGTTGATAATATAAACAGTAGCAATTTAACTTCATCAGATGCGCGTTTCAATAATAAATGTCTCTTCGGTAATGCTGGAAGCTAAATATTTGCTTATCCCAAACTTTATAAATATTTCAAAGGATATAACTGAAGCAGATCAAAACTAGAGAGTTGATCTAATAATCACAGATATATCCGCCAACAGCAACTGAGAGTTCGTCATTTTGTTTCTGTAGTAGCATACTGTGAAATTTTGAAAGTATTACTTTTTTTGCCATAGTTCAAAGCATAGATAAGATAGAAACAGGCCTGATTATTGTTTTTACTTTACTAGTATTTCAATTCGAGTCAGGCACTCGACTGAATGCTGATCTTAAGACAAACAAACAAAATAAAACAATATATATTTCAATCTAATAAGGACCACAAAAGTAAATTCATATAATTAAGGAGCCTGTTGTTCAGAGATTGTCGTTTGTTGGTGTAGTTCATAGATGTTTCTCGTTTCTCGTTTTTGATATAGATTAGACCGTTGGTTTTCCTGTTTGAATTGTTTTACACTTATTATGTCTAGTCATTTTAAGGCCCTTTATGGCTTGCTGTTCGGTGTGAGCAAAGGCTCCGTGTTGAAGGCCGTACTTTGACCTATAATTGTTAATTTTTATACATTGTGACTTGGGTGGAGAGTTGTCTCATTGGCACGAATACCACATCTTCTTATTTATATCATATAATTAAGGTTTTTTTTTATTTCTCAAAGTTTTGGGGAAAATAATACTGTTTGTTGGTCTAAGTCATTCCACTCAAATTTCAATCATTTTCAAAAGGTCCTTCTCCATTTTTTATCCAGAAACCAGAAACTTTTGATTTTCCCTAAAAAATTAAGAACCATAACTCTGGAATTGTAAAAGTGAAAATGACGAAAATCAAAGCAGTTGGAACGCCAAATTAAATACAAACTTGAAGAGCATTAATAAACGAACATTCTGAGAAGTTGTGTCAAATACGGTTCAATCAATGCATGGGTGGTTGGTCGAAAAAACTGAGTGTTTTGAATGTTTCAACATTTGATCAACAGTAAATTGACAGAAAATGAGCATATCAATGATAAATCATGTCAGCACAAATGCTGATTACTGGGTTTGAGATACCCTCGCGTATGTCTACTAGCAGTGGCATCGACCCAGATGTTGTAAAATCTTATCATAGATATAAGGCTTATAATTTGGTACGCTAGAAGTTCTTTTAGTTTACATTAGACTCATCAGTGTCGCTCTCACTAAAACGATTCAAGCGCCAAACTCTCAATATGTGAAAACGGCGAAAATAGATGCCTATCTTTACTGGTCCAAAACATTCCATCTAAATTTCCATTCATTTAAAAAAGCTTTTCCCTATAAATCACCTGAAAACAGTAAAAGAAAATAGATTTTGTCCAACAATAGAGTACCATAAATCTGGAACAGTACCATTTAAAAAGCCGAAAATCGACGTCTACATGCCATTAATGATCATACACATTCCATTAAAATTTCAATTAATTTAGAAAAGAAATCTTTATTTATCATTGTGTGACAGACGGACGAACGAAATTACGGACAAACATGATGAGAATAGACTATTTTCATATTACCGACTTTTGACTCCGGATTATATAATTTGTCGACTGGTTACCTTGGACATCATGGTACTCGGTCAAGTAAGTGCAACGAAAATAAGTAAAATCAAATAAATAATCGGTGTAATTTGAGGGGAAAGTTTACTGTTTTCCGATGATTTTGTAGTGAAAAAAAAAAAATGTTTAGCAGGTAATTTTCCCCCAAATTGAACCGATTGAACGCTTGGTTTTACTTCTTTAGCTTGCTCTTACCTGACTTGGTACCATGATGTCCAAGGTAACCAGTCGACAAATTATATATTCCGGAGTCGATTGGGTGTATAATAAAAAGTGGGTACACATTATGATACGAGTTTAGAACAAACAAAATAACATACTCAGTCTGGTAGTTGATGAAAAATTATCTCAAAGTGAACAAAATTATTACTCTTATATGGAAGTGGTGACTTCATTTCTAATAGGTACCAACGTTATCAGACTGATGTGATATGATTCTCAATGTCACAACTATCACCAAGAGACGAAATGATGTATATCATAGAAACAATAGGTCAGCGTAACGCCTTTAACAATGAGCAAGCCAATACTGCTAAAAGTCCTAAGATGACAAAATGTAAATCAATTCAAATGAGCAAACCAACGGCATGATATACGTACAAAACAACAAACGAAAAAGCAAATGATATACAGCAACAGATTACAAACACTGAATTCCAGGCCCTTAGACTGGGACTGTGGTATAACAGCACATGAAGACAAACTATAAATATCAGTTGGAAAGACTCATCAAATATATACAAAACAAAAAGCAGCTTACGAGAACACCAAAGACGCCAAAAACCCAAAGTACTGCTCTGAGTACTGTCGGCTACTGAAAGCTAGTTCAATGCCAACTAGAAGCTCTAAAAAGTAGAACTTGTCTTGATGATCATGTAATAATTTAAAATTTTTATCTTAATTAAGTTTTCAAGATAGTAGGTGAAAATGAGAGAAAAACAAGAGGCTCTTAGAGCCTGTGTCGCTCACCTAGGTCTATGTGCATCTTAAACAATGGATACTCTCCAACATTGTGGACAAAAATATAATTTGTGACAAAAATGTTTTTGTTGATCTTGTTTTGCTGATCATTTTTTTCTGTTTACAGTTTCTCTCTTATCTTCTTTACTTTTTTGCCATAAAAACAAATACGGGTGAAAAAAATATTCATTTAAGGGCAACCACTCATTTACACAGTCAATACATGATTTCGGCAAAATTGACTTATTTGTAGATCTGGTCTTGTTGATCATTTTGGCTATTAGAAGTAGCTCACTATCAATAATAGTTCAAGATTAGAGGCTGAACACTAAATATTGGTAAAAATCATCATTAAAGAGCAAAACTCTAATAAAGAGTGGACTAATAATTTCGAACCGTACACCTTTTTGTAGATCTCGTTTAGCTGATCATTTTTGCTTTTATAAGTTTCTATCTATCTACTAAGTATTATAGTTTTTTTCAGATTTTAGGCAAAAATTGTAAACATGATAAAAATCGTCTTAAAGGGCAATTACTCCAATAGTCAGGGAAATGACGATTTCAACCATGTGACTGTTTGACGATCTTGGCATGCTGATCATTTTTGCTTATTTCAGTTTATTTTTATCTATAACAAATATTCCATTTCATACAAAAAGGCAAGGTAAAGGGCAATAACTCCAAAAAGGAATCATCTGACGAGATTTCGGCCATTCGACTCAATTGTAAATCTTATCATGCTGATCATATTTGCTACTTAACGTTTCTCTCTATTGTTTATAAGTTTCAATATAATAGGCAAACAATGGAAAGGTAAAATTGGTCACTTAAGGGCAATAACTCCTATAAGAAGTCGTCTTGCTGTTTTTGTGTAAATGTACTATATGTTGGTCTCATTTTTCTGAATATTTCTGCCTCTGTCAGATTTTCACTATTTACAGCGGTTTTCAAGATAAAACATGTAAAAGTCATAACTCGCATTTTACCCCTAAGCTCTTTTTTTTGCCATGTTGGACATGTTGGTTGCAAGCAGGGTCCCCAGACTTCTTATCCTAGTGATGATTGTGGCCAAGTTTGGTTAAATTTGGCCCAGTAGTTTCAGAGATGTTCTTTGTAAAAGTTAATGGACGGCGAAGGTATATCTGGACCATCATTTGACATGTCAATAGTTGTCATAGAGGAAAGCTAACTTGTCAGTTACATTTTGAATATTTGAAAAGAACAGAGCTCCATCTAAAAGTCAGATCATCTCAAATTTCATTTTAAGGAAAGTATAATGGATAAGATTGTGTGGATTCCGAGATTTTTTAATCTGAATAAATAACAGATCCTGTGTCCATACTTTGCTTACAAAGATCCAACAAAAAAAGTTCTACTTTCTGTTCTGGTAATTACTACATTGGCCAATGAAATTCCTGCCTTCAAATTTTCGAAATTTTTGAAGGTGTGTATCATTAAGACAAAATTTGTTGTGTTGTCCGATCTTTGTAAGCAAAGTATAGACTCAGGATCTGTATTTTACTCAGATTAGAGATTTCTGCAATTAAAAGTAAAATTTATTTAAGAATGATTTGCCAGTGTGGTTAATTTAGATATAGATAAATGTCCATAGTATAACTTATGTTACCTTCACCTTCAGTTTTAGTAACAGTCCATATCATGACTGAACATGGCTTAACTACTTATTGTTCAGTCTTAAAGAGTTGTTCAAATCAAAATGGCTTTTTATTTAAAATTGGTTTACTAGTTGAACAAATATGGATAATGAGAATTTTGCTGCCATATATTTAAATAAATGTGGATAGTGTCCACATGTGGACACAGATGATGCCCCCGTTTGCATATCATATAGTTATAAAGGGACATAACTGAAGAACGGTAAAAGTGACGCTTCCCAAATTTGAACTTGATCTGAGTTTTGTGGTAATAAGCATTGTGTGTAAGTCTCATAACATTTGGTTGAGGCTAACTTAAGTAGAGAACTGAAACTAAAAATTCAGCAATTTTTCTATTTGTAAACACGCATAACTCTAGAACGGTTGTGTATAAGTTTTACAACATTTGGTTGAGACAAACTAAAAAATTCAGCAATTTTTATGTTTATAAAGGGACATAACTCTAGAATGGTAAAAGTGTTGCCACCTAATTTCATACTTAATCTGTATTATGTAGTAATAAGCATTGTGTATGAGTTTCATAACATTTGGTTGAGGCAAACTCAAGTTAGAGAACTGAAACAAAAAAATTGTACTTGATCCTTACTGAGTTTTGTGGTAATGAATATTGTGTATAGGTTTCATAATGTTTGGCTGGGGAAAACTTCAGTTACTGAATGGAAACTAAAAAATTTTGCAATCTTTCGATTTATAAAGGGGCATAACTCAATATTGGTTAAAGTGACACTACCCAAATTCAACTAGTTCTGTGTTTTATCAGTGGAAGTCAAAATTAAACATTGCATTGTGTAAAGCATTGATTGTAGTTGATTCAACTATAATCATGGTCAAAGGAAGATAACTCCAATTTTAAAAATATATTATATAAACTTGATATTTAGAAGAAAATAAAAATTTTGCAATTTTTCCTTTTATAAAGGGGCATAACTCTAGATCGGTTAAAGTGACACCACCAAAATTCAAACTTGATCTGTGTTTTGTGGGTAAGCATTGTGTATAAGTTTAATAACATTTGGTTGAGGCAAACTTAAGTTAGAGAACGGAAACTAAAAATTTTGCAATATTTCCTTTTATAAAGGGGCATAACTCTAGATCGGTTAAAGTGACGCCACCAAAATTCAAACTTGATCTGTGTATTGTGGTAATAAGCATTGTGTTTAAGTTTCATAACATTTGGTTGAGGCAAACTCAAGTTAGAGAACGGAAACCAATTTCGGGACGTACGGACGGACGTATGTACGTACGTACGTACGTACGTACAGACGGACAAGGGTAAAATTTAATGCCCCCTCCGCTACGGCGGGGGCATAAAAACGAAAAATTCAGCAATTTTCATGTTTATAAAGGGACATAACTCAAGAATGGTAAAAGTGTTGCAGCATTGTGTATAAGTTTCATAACATTTGGTTGAGGCAAACTAAAGTTAGAAAACGGAAACAAAAACTTTGTACTTGATCTTAGTTTTGTGGTAATGAATATTGTGTATAGTTTTCATAATGTTTGGTTGGGGCAAACTTAAGTTACAGAATGGAAACTAAAATTTTGCAATCTTTCGATTTATAAAGGGGCATAACTCAATAATGGTTAAAGTGACACTACCCAAATTCAACTTGATCTGTGTTTTATTAGTGGAAGTCAAAATTAAACATTGCATTGTATAAAGCATTGATTGTAGTTGATTCAACTATAATCATGGACAAAGGAAGATAACTCCAATTTAAAAAATTACTTGATATTTAGAAGAAAATAAAAATTTAGCAATTTTTCCATTTCTAAAGGTGCATAACTCTAGAATAGTCAAAGTGACGCCACCAAAATTCAAACTTGATATGTGTTTTGTGGTAATAAGCATTGTGTATAAGTTTCATAACATTTGGTTGAGGCAAACTAAAATTAGAGAACGGAAACGAAAAAATCAGCAATTTTACCATTTGTAAAGGGGCATAACTCTAGAACAGTAAAAGTGACGCCACCAAAATTCAAACTTGATCTGTGTTTTGTGGTAATAAGCATTGTGTATAAGTTTCATAACATTTGGATGAGGCAAACTAAAGTTAGAGAACGGAAACGAAAAATTCAGGAATTTTTCTATTTGTAAAGGGACATAACTCTAGAATGGTAAAAGTGACGCCACCAAAATTCAAACTTGATTTGTGTTTTGTGGTAATAAGCATTGTGTATAAGTTTCATAACATTTGGTTGAGGCAAACTAAAGTTAGAGAACGGAAACCAATTTTTGGACGTACGTACGTACAGACGGACAAGAGTAAAACTTAATGCCCCTCCACTATGGCGGGGGCATAAAAATATTATAAGACACGAGGCAAAATACATTCAAGCAAGGTTTTTTTTCTGAAATGCCTCACAACCTTTGCCTGTTTTAGAATATTTGACCTTAATTCATGGTCTCTATTGTTTTATTTGTGTTCAATCTGATTAAAATACAGATCCTGTGTTCACACTTTGCCTACAATGATCAGACAACACTCTATTCTACTTTCTGTTTTTTTTTAATTATAACACCAGCAAATGAAATTCCGCCCTACAAATTTTTGAAGGTATCTATCATCACAACAAAACCTGAGGACCTTGAAAGGTCTTTAAAACAGAAAAAAGAGTGTTGTCAGATCCTTGTAAGCAAAGCATGGAAAAAGGATTTATGCAATTAAAAGCCAAATATATTTAGGAATGATTTACCAGTGTGTTCATTCTGGATAAAGATAGAAGTCCATAGCAAGTTTTAGTTACAAAGCAATTACATACTGTATATAACAGTTATATTTTGTCAGTATTTGCTTCTTGAATTGTAACAAAGGCCATGCAAAACCATGGTTATATTAACATAAACTATATGCCAATGAGTTTTTTATTTTCATGATTGGATGAAAAGGTTATCTCCCCCTCCCCATCCCCAAAAAAATAATAAGCTGCCATTTATAACATGTCTTTTTTCTTGTTGATTCTTATCTTTTATGAAAAAATCAAATAATAACTTTATTTTTATTGACCTCCTGGTTCTATCATAACAACTGGTTCTGTCTTAATGTCTATATCCAGAACAGAGTTGTCTCCCATTGTTCTGGAAACTAAGGTATGCAACTGTTCATTTATGGCATTTGATAGTTCATCGTCTGGAAGTTCTAAATTTAGATTCTGAGCTTCTTCTTGAAATTCCTGGGTCTCTGGTGTTTCATCTGAATGTCTTGCAAGAGAATAAGTATGTCTCTGAGAAATTTTCTGCCGTTTTTTCCAAGGACTTACATAGTTTATAGGTTTTCTATAGAACTGTCCATGATTCAGGAGTCGTCTTTCGTTTCTGTATTTGTCACTGAGGACTGTAATCCAGGAATCCTGAAATATAACAATTATAATTTGGTTAAACATTAAATACATTCCCTGAAAAATCTTCATTCAAATTACTTCAAACAATGCTCTTATTTTATGAAATATATATGTAACTTAAAATAAATAATTTTACTGTACGGAAAAAAATACCAAGATGCAATTGGACTGTTCAGTTACATAAAGAAAATGGGCATCTAAAGTGAAACTGGTGCTAAAAGTTGACTCATTATCATGAAATTTGTACAAACATATAGAAACTTACAAATCTTATGTTGATAAATTTAAATAAACCAACAAATAATTTAAACCATAAATGTTGACAATAAACAAATTTAGAAGACGAAAAAATACATAATTGATGGCTGTTGGAATTGTGTGACATTACTTGTCATCCAAAAGCTTGACACATTACTTAGTGAATTTGTACCAGTATATAAAATATAGGCTTTTGTAAATCTACCTTTGCCTACTCAGATATGGACCATGGTGCAACATTCTCCGTTCATTTCTGAATTTATCATTTAATACATTTAACCACTGGTCCTAAAAATAGAAAAATAATCCAGACATTAACCGCCACCTAATTAGCATAATACTATTAAATATGTTAAATCTATTTATGGGTAACACCCTGGTATCCTTGTTTTATCGTCATTTACATGGGTGATTTTCCAAATAGTATTCTAAAAATAAAAGAATGCCTCATAAAGGGAAAATATCACTTTGAATTTCTCTACATGTTTTAGAACCCATGGCCCAACTCTTTATGCATCCATATGTGGCCTGCTAGAAGGCAATTTTTTATGTCCTATCCACATGCAATGAACCCTCCTTTTGCAGTGGCATTAAATATTTCCCAACCATACCAGTTAACCTTTTTATTGAATAAATTATTATTAATTTTGTTCTTGTCTTGAATATGCATGAAATATTTGCCATTGATGTTAAACAAACCATCTTATCTTGGCTTGAGGTAGATTAGAAAGTCAATAACGTATTCATGAATGAGTAAATGAGTAAAAGTTAATTCCAGGAAAGGTCTACTTGGAGAATGAGCACCATGTGTTATCTACTCACGATAAAATATAACTGACAAAAATCATAAATAAATATTCTGAAAAAATCTGTTTACTACAAAAAAACTTTTAACAACATGTAGCTGTATAGTTTGATGTGTGTCTAATTTTGACATAAAAAAAAACAAAAAAATAAAACAAAAGAGAACATGGATATTGGACAAATTTTCTAAAACAGTGAAAGATTGTGAGAAATTTCAGAAAAAAATGCTTGAATGTATTTTGCCTGATGTCTCATTATAATTTTTTTAATATATGGCATCAAAATATTTTGTAAAAATTTGTATACAACCCTATAGTCAATTTATACTGCATTTAAAATCGTAGCTTTCCCTATAGCCACAAAATGAACAAAAATTGGTATCACATAAATAACTATGAATCCAGTAATTTTGTTTACATGCAAATAATAAACAGAGTTGAAATGTTCCCGGAGTTCACATATTTTCTCTGTCCAAGGCCAATAACTAAAAAACATCTTTTTTTTCTTCTTTAAATTTTTATAAATATCTTAGAGAAATGAAGGCTTGAGAGCAAATGCAATACAATTTCCAATAAATTTAATATTTCCAAGGGGCATAACTCTTTTAAAACTATTTGTGTGTCACCAATTTTAGAAATTTTCCAAGAAATCACTGATGCAAACTTTTGATATAAATCTGATAAAATCTTGCAAAAATTGTACACATAAACATACTTACAATACAATTCCATCTAATTAATATTTCAAAAGGTCATAACTCTTTTAAAAACGTGTTGCACAGGGGACAAAAATATACCACAACTTACAAGAGATGATGCTTGACCTCGATTTGTTTTCTGGTCAAGCTTTGGAAAAGTAGTCACTATGGCTTTAGCAACTTCTACTTTTTGTTGCGGTGTTGGATATCTGTAAACAGAAATTAAGTTAAACAAATATGTTGTAAAAAAGACATATACCATATTTATAATTTTATTTCTTGTTGTAGTATATTTTGAACATTGGTTTTATCTTTTGAATTGTTTCACAATTTGTCATCCCTTGCTAACTATGCAATATGCTCATGGTTGAAGACTGAAGAATGACCTGTAACTTTTTGCATCTTTGTCCTTTGGTCTTTAAATGGATAGCTATCTCATTGGCAATAATACCACATCTCCTTATTTTTACATAACATTAATATAAAAAGAAAGAATATGTTGTAAAAATGTACAAGGGTCAACATTCCATACTTATTATAATGTACAGTGTTAAGTAAATAGACAATATTTATTAATAAGTCAATACCATAAAATTATCAACTTTTTTTATTAGGCTTAATAGAAACATGGGATGGACCAGAGTTATCTATAGTGCTTCAACAGTTTAGTGTTGAATACAAAACAGTCTTTATTTTTCTGACGTAAACTAGTTTTGTTTTAAATATTATAGGAAGATAAAACAGTTACAATAATAGCCATTAAAATGTAAACACAAAAGAAAACTTAGTTTTCATTCCTTATTTAAAAATGCGCTCCACCTGGAGCAGCTTGATACGACCGCTGAGGTTGAACTCTGAACAGTTGGGGCAAGTATGGACACAATATTCAAGCTTGATACAGCTCTGAATTTGGATAGTGATTAAATATTTGACACATTATAGATTTCTGACACAGAATAAATGTGGTCAGATAACTTAAAAATTTGAAATGAGACATTTAATCTACTTAATGGTCCAATATCCAAAATCTAATTCCATGGTTAGATTCAGCATATAAAAAAAACCCCATGAATTCAAACAAAGTTTAATTTTGGACCCTTTGGACCTTAGGGATGTATTCCTCTGACGTTTCAGTCTCGTTGAAATCTCGTTCTGGAATTATTTTCAAAACATGTGATACAAGTGGAAAATATCAATGAAAAACATTATAATCAAACTTAACTCTGTGAAAAAATTGTGTATTTACAATAAGTAGTTTTTGAGGTGTAATACCACCAAATCATAGTACGTCACATCTGGTTGCATACGAAAATAGGTTGAAAAAAATATTCCCTTGAATTTGACAGTTGTAGGTAATTGATCCTACATTTCATTGCAGTAAAACATTTCTGGGTCATAAACATATATCTTGGGTATTTCACAGCACCATTATTTTTTATTTGGGGTTTCTATAGAATATTTTGGAAACTTGAGGTTACATGGTTACTAAAGCTTGTACACAGGTTGAAAAAGGGGGAAAATTTGATTGGTTAACTTCCAGTGATGGTTATTTTCTTATATGCAATGAAATGTTATGTGAAATTTTTTCTATATTACTGGACAGGATCAAACTTTACTCATTTTTTGCCAAGTATTTCTTTATTTGAAACAAAGATAAATTCTGCACAATTTTTTGAAAAGTGCAAATTTAACAAAGACTAATAGGGGAAAATCAATGGTGGTATTACACCTAATATGGGAAGCTGTACATGCACCTTTGACCTTGTGAGTACTCTCATGTGTTAAAATTTCTTGCTATTTAAGTGAAATATTACTAATAATGAAATATTCTGAGTGGATTGAGTCTCCAAAACACATTTTATGAGAAAATTTCCTTGAAATAGGACTTTACCATGAATATTGGTTGACAGAATAAGCCATACTTAGAGTTTTGGGGAGCTTTTTCTCCTTTTTTCTTATATTCTGCTATACTAGAAAATTTTTCCTAAGAAATACTTTACTAAATATATAGTTTTAAGTAAATGAAGTTATTTTTAAAGCAGTAACAACAAATTATTCACCAAAAGAGAAGCTTTTTATGTCCCTCTCTGGAACGCGGCGTAAATTTAAGTTTTACGTAAGGACTTATTGAAACCTCCTTGGAGACAGTAAACTTTTATACAGATAGTTCATTCAGCTTGAATACTTCAATTAATCATTTATTTTAACATTTCTATCATAAATGAGTGAAAGTTACCCCAAAATTTTTATTTATTGGCCTATAAAGTAGAAATTTTGAGGAAATGAGAGGTGTAAATGGCCCAAAAGAGACCTTATAAGGAAGACAAAGAGGTCCATTAGTAGTATTTATCATCCTAAAGTCATCTTTTGTATCATATTCAACTGTTTGTAGGCAGATGAGATAAATATTTGATCATTTATTGGTCCACACTATATTCTATCATGATGCGGCTTGGTTTGGATTTTTCAAAGAAATTTAGCTCGAATCGCTGTAGATGTCGTCTTACATTATACTAGATTTTTCTCAAACTATTGAACTGATTATGACAAAACTTGACAGGAATGCTTGAAATAACCAGTATTACAAAGGAAAAAAGTCACATTCAGTTTATTTAACAAAAAGGTCTTCTTTAGGTGTAATACCACCAAATCATAGTACGTCACATCTGGTTGCATACGAAAATAGGTCGAAAAAAATATTCCCTTGAATTTGACAGTTGTAGGTAATTGATCCTACATTTCATTGCAGTAAAACATTTCTGGGTCATAAACATATATCTTGGGTATTTCACAGCACCATTATTTTTTTATTTGGGGTTTCTATAGAATATTTTGGAAACTTGAGGTTACATGGTTACTAAAGCTTGTACACAGGTTAAAAAAGGGGGAAAATTTGATTGGTTAACTTCCAGTGATGGTTATTTTCTTATATGCAATGAAATGTTATGTGAAATTTTTTCTATATTACTGGACAGGATCAAACTTTACTCATGCCAAGTATTTCTTTATTTGAAACAAAGATAAATTCTGCACAATTTTTTGAAAAGTGCAAATTTAACAAAGACTAATAGGGGAAAATCAATGGTGGTATTACACCTTGAGTAATAAAATTTTCAAGTCAGTCTCTTTAGCCAAAATGTTGAGAAAATGGGTGAGGGGTACAAGAAATGAGTTTACCAGAAACATGTACAACCCAATATCATGCATATCAATTTTTTCTTTTCAAATTTCGTAGATATTTATTTTTTCAATCATTTATAACAAAGAAGTTGAAATAACATGCTTTTTGTTCTAAAAAAGAGAGAAAAATCCCAAATTTACAAAATTGACAGCATGGTAAATTTGACACGAAAAAGCAACAAAATTTTATAAAACTTTCGTATATTAACACCTACCTATAGTTTTTTTAAGTTAAATTTATTTAGATTGGTCCACTTCATCTTTAGTGAAAGTATGAAAAAAAGTTTAATTGTGAAACTGTGATTTTTTTCATGATGATAGCCCAAAAATGGGTAAAAATTGATGAAAAATGGGAAAATCATCAAAATTGGGTACTTTCAAATGGCTATAGCAAAAAAAGAAGTGCACCACCATTTGATTTTTTCTTCACCAATTATTTTTTTACAGTCATATAAACCCAAAAATCAGGTTAAGAAAAAAAGTTTAATTATAGAAATTTTTAGCTCCTCAGGTGTACATCCTTAATATGGACTAATTTGAAAAAAGGGCCCAAAATAAAAAATCCGAATGTACAGTTAGATTCAGCATATCATAGAACCACAAGAATTCAGTTTTTTATGAAATCAAACAAAGTTTGATTTTGGACCCTTTGGACCTCAATGTAGACCAATTCAAAAATGTCCAAATATCCAATATAGTAATACATGGTAAAAACCTCAAACAATTCAAGACTTTAAATTAATCCTCATTGAAATTGGTTAAAAGATTTGTATTTATTTTCAATTGAAGATTTCTTGCTGTTGTGCAATACTTTGCTGTTGTGCAATACTTAGTAAATCTGTTTACAAACTAAATATAATAATTTACACACCCTGTTGTATCTCCTGCCGTATCAGTATTTGTTGTTTCTTAATATAGATCAGAAATAATTTATGTTAGAACCAGCTTAGCCAGTATTAGAAAAGTCTTGTTTTTGGCTCCTAGGTTCTTAATGATTAAAGCCACACCCCACAAAATCGACCCCAACCTTCTGTGTGTGGTATGGAACCTTGTGGTACAATTTCATAGAGATCCATTGACTGATACTTAAGTATTTGTTAGGAAACCAGCAATTTTTTTGCAGTTGTATAAAAACTGAGGATTCTTAAAAAATATGTACTGAGCAAAAGCACAATTTTCAATCTGTTGGCCCACATAATATGGAAAGTATAAAAGCTACCACATATATGTATTTGTTTGAAATACAAGGTAAAAATTTCAAAAGGAATTTAAAGATAAAATGCTTCGCTGGGCGTAGCTTGATAGGAAGATAAAACAGTTACAATAATAGCCATTAAAATGTAAACACAAAAGAAAACTTAGTTTTCATTCCTTATTTAAAAATGCGCTCCACCTGGAGCAGCTTGATACGACCGCTGAGGTTGAACTCTGAACAGTTGGGGCAAGTATGGACACAATATTCAAGCTTGATACAGCTCTGAATTTGGATAGTGATTAAATATTTGACACAGCATAGGTTTCTGACACAGAAAGAATGTGGTCTAAGAACTTGAATTTTTTTGATTAACCTATTATGGTCCAATGTCCAAAATCAAAATACATTGTTACATTCAGCATATCAAAGAACCCCATATATTCAATTTTTGTTGAAATCAAACAAAGTTTAATTTTGGACCCCAACTTGGACAAACTTGAAAACTGGGCCCATAATCAAAAATCTAAACACATGTTTAGATTTAGCATATCAAAGAACCCCAAGAATTCAATTTTTGTTAAAATCAAACTAAGTTTAATTTTGGACCCTTTGGACCTTAATGTAGACCAATTTAAAAAACGGGACCCAAAATTAAAAATCTAAATACACGGTTAGATTTGGAATATCAAGGAACCCCAATAATTCAATTTTTGATGAAATCAAACAAAGTTTAATTTTGGACCCCATCTTGGACAAACTTGAAAACTGGGCCTAAAATCAAAAATCTAAACACATGTTTAGATTCAGCATATCAAAGAACCCCAAGAATTCAATTTTTGTTAAAATCAAACTAAGTTTAATTTTGGACCCTTTGGACCTAAATGTAGACCAATTTAAAAAACGGGACCCAAAATTAAAAATCTAAATACATGGTTAGATTTGGAATAACTAAGAACCCCAATAATTCAATTTTTGATGAAATCAAACAAAGTTTAATTTTGGACCCTTTTGACCTCAATTTGAACCAATTTGATAGTGGGGCCCACAAATAAAAAATCTAAATACATGGTTAGATTCAGCATATCAAAGAACCCCATATATTCAATTTTTGTTGAAATCAAAAACAGTTTAATTTTGGACCACAACTTGGACCAACTTGAAAACTGGCCCCATAATCAAAAATCTAAACACATGTTTAGATTCAGCATATCAAATACCCCAAGAATTCATTTTTTGTTAAAATCAAACTTAGTTTAATTTTGGACCCTTTGGACCTTAATGTAGACCAATTTAAAAAACCGGATCCAAAATTAAAAATCTAAATACACGGTTAGATTTGGAATATCAAAGAACCCCAATAATTCAATTTTTGATGAAATCAAACAAAGTTTAATTTTGGACCCTTTGGACCTTAATGTAATCCAATTTAAAAAACAGGACCCAAAATTAAAAATCTAAATACACGGTAAGATTTGGCATATCAAAGAACCCCAATAATTCAATTTTTGATAAAATCAAACGAAGTTTAATTTTGGACCCTTTTGACCTCAATATGAAACAATTTGATAGCGGAGTCCACAAATAAAAAATCTAAATACATGGTTAGATTCAGCATATCAAAGAACCCCAAATATTCAATTTTTGTTAAAATCAAACAAAGTTTAATTTTGGACCCTTTGGACCTTAATGTAGACCAATTTGAAAACTGGACCCAAAATTAAAAATCTAAATACACGGTTAGATTTGGCATAACAAATAAATAAATGTGGTCAAAGATTTTACAAACCTAATGCGCCATACTGTGCAATTAAAGATTACTTCTTGAAATTTTTCAATATTTGAAATTTGAAAAAAAATAATATTTGAAGAATAATTCTTTTTAATTTCTGAAATCTGAAATGAGAAAAAATTGACCCCCCACAATTTCTTTTTACCCCCACCCCCCCTTTTTCCCCGAAAAAAATCTTTCCCTCAAGATATGGTCATAATCTCAATTCAAATTACCAATGGAGTTTGCAACCATAATTACCCATTTAAATTTACCATAGTGCTTACTTAATCTATTTTATAATGGAATTTAAAATATAGTGTCAAATCTTTCATATGGATTTTTTTGTAAAAAAAAAAGATGCAACATTTGCAGATATTTTTACTGGTCTTCCTTTATAAATATGCATTTCTTCAAACATAATTTAAAGCAGTGTAAGGGAAGTAACCAAAACGTTGTATTTGGATTACCTCCCTTACACTGTTTTAAATTATCTTGATTGTTCATTAACCAATACTTTATACATAATTTAAAAGCAGTGTAAGGGAGGTAATTTCAATGATAAATTTGATTTATCTCCCTTTCACTGCTTTAAATTATGTTTTGTACTAAAGTATTTGTCCATTAACCAGGACAACCTTGTTTTTCCCCCTTTTTTGCCCCTTATTCCTAAACGGTTTGAGCCATAACCACCCAAAGCAAATCCTAACCATCCCTTTGTGGTATGGAAACTTGTAGTATAATTTCAGAGAGATCCATACACCGTTCCACAGTTATTATCTGGAAACTAGAAAATGCTTATTTTTGGCCCCTTTTTGGCCCCTAATTCCTTATCTGTTGGTACCATAACCCCCAAAATCAATCCCAACCTTCCTTTTGTGGTATTTAACCTTATGGTAAAATTTCAAAGAGATCCATTCACTTAAACTAAAGTTAGTGTGCGAAAACCAATGTGTCTTCGGATGACGACGCCGGACGACGACGACGACGACGCCAACGTCATACCAATATACGACCGCAAAAATTTTTTGCTGTCGTATAAAAAACTACACAAAATTTAACTTCAATCTAATCCATATTGGTGGAAAATGAACTGGCAGCTCCTATCTTATGAGCTTAAATCTCTGTTGGCAAATTTGCTTATTACTTGCTTAATAAAAATTTTTTCTGAAAAAATTTGGTTTCAGAAGATTTTTTTGTCATCAATCCCCTACACTGCTACAGTTCCAAATCATTTTGCTTTGTAGTTTCACAGGAAATAACTTTTTTTTTAAAACTACCTCTAGCAGCCATGTTCTGATCAAAACCAATTGAGGTTTATTACTAGGGCACCTTCCATAAATCAACCAAGTTTCATAGAGGAAGAAAAGCTAGAGCTTCAATTTTATATAAAAACATTCATGTCATGCTGAACAAAAAAAATTATCTTTGCCTAGGGGGAGCGAGCATAAGTTTGCTGTGATAAAACTTCATAAAATGTTCACAAATGTCAATCACACTACAATTACTCCATTTGAAACAACAGGTGAATTAGCCATGAGTTATTTTTAAACATTTGCAAATATGCTTATATTTAGTGTCAGAAAAAAATTAAAGATAAATCAAGAAAATTGAATAAATTTTTCTTCATTTCATAAAATCTAAACAAAAATCAACTAAAATATAAATAGGATTAGTCAAAAGAAATGAACTATCAGTAAACATGGAAGAAGGTAAAATTTAGATAACTTTATAACATCAAAGTCAAAATAATAAAATATGATGAGGACATTGCCTTGGCCAAACATTGCATAACATAAATATTTGGACTGTTATGGTTGTAAGCAAAACTGATCAAGATGAACTTCACAAGGTACATGTATATATGTGAACATTTAATGCTATAAGTCATAAAACTAAAAAGCAAAATTCAAAAAGTTTAATTTGAAATGACACAATTTAACTTGTTAGAACATTTCATACAGTTGACCGCAACAAACTTGAGCTACATAAAATATGCTACATAAAATGGTGTATCTTTAAATAAAACAAAGTCCCATAAGTCTTATAATAACTCTTATAATAAGATTTAAATTAAAAATGCAAGACGGATGAACAAACAGACAAAACTAGATATCATTGAGATGGGAGCCATCTCTGTGGGCTCTACTGTGAATAATGTGTGGTAAAAAATTTGTATCTTTATTATTGGACATGGGGTTGTCAAATGAAACCAAAGTTTTTGACCTTGACCTTTGACCAAGGAAGTTGTACATAAATTAAGACACACCCTCTGGTGTTGGTTAATATACATGTCAAGTATAAACTATGAAATCATAACGGTTCTCAAGATATAGAGAGGACACGATTTTTACAATAGGACAAGGGGTTGTCAACTGAAACCAAAGTTTTTGACCTTGAACTTTGACCTAGGAAGATGTACATACATTATGACACACCCACTGGTATATACATATCAAGTATAAACTTTGAAATCATAAAGGTTCTCAAGATATAGAGCGGACACAATCTTTACCATAGGACATGGGGTTGTCAACTAAAACCAGTTTTTGACCTTGACCTTTGACCTAGGAAGTTGTACATACATTATGACACACCCTCTGGTGTTGGTTAATATACATGTCAAGTATAAACTTTGAAATCATAATGGTTCTCTAGATATAGAGCAGACACGATTTGTTACGGACGGACGGACAGACTGATCACTATAGGGCGCCTGCCATTCGGCAGGGCCCTAATTAACAATAAATGCCAATTTTTGCATAATTTTCATTGGATATCAGACATTTAAAAAGAAAAACTTACAATCCTGTGTATTTAACAACTTCATTAAAGATTGTATCTAGAAATTGCATTTTCCCCGGCCTGCTGACTATTCCAGTATTAATCATTTCTTTTGCCCTTGCTCCATATGGAAGCTTTTCCAATGGAAATGGATCCGGAAAAGGTAATACAGTTTGTAATGACTGGGAGTGAACTCTGGCACCCATATAACTTGATCCTCGAGATTTCCGTAATTTTTCAAAATATTCCCATTTTTTACTTTTCCAAGAAGCCTCATCTTCCATCCTGGAACCAGCTGAAACATACAATTTTATTGCAGTGAATATAAAGGCTCTGTAGGCTGAATTTAAATGATTTATTGATCAGATTTCAGATATGTATGCAAACCTATAATATTTCCAATTGTATTTTTTTTGTATTTTATTCTTGTCATTGAATTGTTGGAAATACTAAGGAAAAGATTACCATAGCTGTATTTGGCAAAACCTTTCTGAAATTTGGGTCCTCACTGCTCTTCACCTTGGCCTTTTAACTTTTTTAATTCGAGCATCGCTGATCATGCTGATGAGTCTTTTGTAGACGAAATACATACAAAATCATAAGCCTGCTATCTTTGGTGAGTTTTGGTGACCTAAACTCAACATTTCCTATTATCAAATTTCATTTTTAAATACTGACTTGTCTCTATCAAATTCTGCCAATGACAATAAAATATATGATGAGATTTCAAAGAACCTTGTTAGGAGTGTTGTTTCTAACTTTATATTCTTATAACAGTCTTCCGACAACTGTGACTACCTTCAAAAGTTTTCTTCCTATAGTGGTGAGCACATTTTGACCCTGATACATAGGCACTTGTTTCCTGTGCCCTGATATCCAAATCCTTTGACTTTTCTTTTTCCATGTACAGAACTGTGGACATCCTATTGGTAGCTGAACTGTCCAGGTTTTTTATTGTGTTTTATTTTTATGACATTTAAATAAGATATGAAAATTTGGGAGGTTCCTGCACATGTAAAACTAGTTGAACTCCACAAGATTATATGGCTGTACCTAGTCAGGTTATCTGGACCATGTGTTGATCATTGTTGCCCATGCTCAGGTTATCTGGACCATGTGTTGATCATTGTTGCCCATGCTCAGGTTATCTGGACCATGTGTAGATCATTGTTGCCCATGCTCAGGTTATCTGGACCATGTGTTGATCATTGTTATCCATAGTCAGGTTATCTGGACCATGTGTTGATCATTTTTGCCCATGCTCAGGTTATCTGGACCATGTGTTGATCATTGTTGCCCATGCTCAGGTTATCTGGACCATGTGTTTTTCTGGGTGGAGTCAGTTGTTGGAGGTTTGTGTTGTCTGTTGTACTAATATTTTTGTTATTTCTGTCGTCCTTATTGTGAATCATATCACAATGTATCAGTTGGCATAGTAGCAAAAATTTTTAACTTGTAGTTAAATGTAAAAATCTTTTTAACTTAAGGACAATTTGTGGTATTTTTGAAATGAGTAAACTAAGAACCAGAAGAATTCATTGAAAACTTACCATTTGTTGGATTTGCAGGTCTTACATCATTTGAGTACAGTGATACAGGTACTGGAATTATATCATCAGCTAATTCCTTTAAATCTAAAAAAGAAAGGAAATTTCAATTTAGATTTTTAGCAACTACGTACCTGGTAAAGGTTATTCCAGACATTTGTCAAACATGCTGACATCAATATCAGATAAACAACTTACCGGTAAGTAAAGTTTACAGAAGTTTTTATCAGCTGAATAGTCATTATAAACACTGCAATTCAAATTCTTTTAGATAATTACTCAAGAAGATTATTGATCTGAATGTGTATTACATGTAACAATACTGACTCAAAATTATGGTTAAGTGTTTTAATAACAGTTTTGACAAAAGTTACATAATTCATACACCAATCTTCAGTTGTCTTTTGTGAATGAGTTACACCTATTGTCTCAGGGTCAATCAGTGTAAACAACTTCATTGAACAATCGGTTCTTACTGTCACTTATTAACATAAGCATTGTACAATAGGAAATTTACGGGAAAGTGCACGAATTTGAAAGTCGTCTTTAAAAAGTAATATGTAAAACTGAAACAAATTTACTACACTTGTTATTACATGTCACTTATAGTTTACTCATAAAACAGGCTCTCAATATATTTGTCGCTAAAAAAAATTCAAATTACTTAAGGGTTTCCAGATTTTCGAGCTCAGACAATGTCATACAGAGCACAGGGGAACATTATTAGAATTAAAACATAACAGCATCAGATGAATTGGGCTATTCCTTTTTAAGTCCCTTCTGGTCATAAAGCTTCTATGTACAGTCAGGGGACTTACTTAAATGAGTGATTTTTAAATCACTGATTCAAGTAACATTTATCCACAAATGTTGGAAGTAAGAGTTGTCTTTCATTAATAATCACCTATTTAAGTAGCTCAAATAAATCACTAGACTAAGTGATTTAATTTTATTGTAGCTTTAAATATACAAGACTAATGATCCAGGGACTAATTATGTTGCTAAAGTTATCTGAGAACCAACATCTGTGTTGATAGGATGACCGGTCATGTCAGGTGATAACCTAGCTTGTACTGAATCTGGGATAATGACATGAAAATCACTTGTTTAAGTATCTTACCTCTATTTTCTTCCAAAAAATCACTTCTTTAAGTATTATTATTTTAATTACCCCCACTAATTTCAACACCCTCGAACAGTGAAATTTTGATCGCCAACAGTAAAATTTTATTACATAATCTGTAAGATGAAACCTTGAATTTTACAGGAAAATTACTCCCACTGCTGGGAAAAATCTGATTAGAAAGTATCAGTTCATTATGTTAAGCCTTAATTATAGCATTTTTTCAACAAATATAGAATTTACAGCTAAATGATTGCATCAAAGGCATAACCTTGATATTTATAAGAAGAAAAAGGTTATTTTTTTCCAATTTTACTAATAATAAAATATAATCTAAACCTATATATATGTTTAAAATTTTGGTAAAACTACAAAATCACAATTTATGACAAAATTTTGAATTTGCTACTTAAATAAGTGATTTTATAAATAACTCATTTAAGTAAGTCCCCTGACTGATGTATATATATATTCCTGGCTTTCAAATATTTAGGTTTGAGCGTTCCTAATGTATTAATCCAGGAAAGCCCTTAGAAAGCACAAAATTTAGAATGTTATTTTTAATAAATACAGCATTCCAAGACATGACAGACAAATAAACATACAATTGTACAACAAAATCTCATAATAATTCACAATATTTTCCTAATGTATATTGTAAACTGTTTCAATGTCATATGAATGTACAATGTACATGTTTTGGGTACTCCAATAAAATGATTTAATAGGGATTTCTTTAATGTTTTAACAGTATCCAGACTGGTTTCAGATTTGATATCATATACAACTGTGATGTATTTGGTTTCAACAGGGTTTTTTGTGTTGAAATAGTTTCAAAGAAACTCCAAAAATATCAATATTGACATCTTCCTTTGATAAAATGTCCAAGTAATAGTATCCACGGTAGATGGTAGTGTATCTTACATACATGTACAATATCAAGGGATTCAATCATCAAACTAATGCTTTTTTCATCATGTTCTTCTAACTGCTTTTCTATTTGAGTTATTTTCTTCCACATCTAGTAAACAAATACATTATTTAAATACTTCTTACTAGTTTCCTGTAGTAAATGGTCATTTGGATCAAATTCCATACAGCCATCTAAATTAGTCTCAGTCTGTCCAGTATCTAAGCAAGTCATTTCCCCTTGTTGACTTTCAGAATTGCCTGTCTGAGATTCTTCATCTGACGATAACTCTATTTTTATTATATCTTGAATAGTGGATTCTGATGAAATATTTCCAGCATTCTTTCCAGGTACCTGAATAATAAGATATATTTAACTGAGTTGAAAAAGATAGCAACTAATGTAAATATGTGAACTGCAACAGGTGTATTCCATCTTAATGGCATTCTAATATCATTTCTCGTGGATGCTGATGATAGACTCAATGTACACTAGTTCACACAGTAAATGTGCCATGCATGAAAATTGTGCGAAAAATCGTGTGTATGTGTATTTCCTGAGTGGCACATTTACTTGTATACACTAATATATAATTTCACTCCTGAATGTTAAATATAAAATTAGATAATGGACAATAAGCCTGTAATTCAGTGGTTGTTGTTTGTTGCTAAATATCATATTTGTTTTTTTAGTTCATTGTTTTTTACATAAATCAGGCCTTTAGCTTTCTCGTTTGAATTGTTTTACATTTGCCATTTTGGGGCCTTTTATAGCTGACTATGCGGCAGGGCTTCCAAAACGGTCATATACTCCGGACAAGTCCGATAAATTATATAAATGACTTGTTGTGTCGAGGCTGAAACAGACATTTTAATAACATAGTTCAGAAAAAAAATATAGTTCATGCGATCTTTTCAGTTTTTGACCTGACCTTTTGCCTTAAACAGCCACACATTTCCGGTCATAAAAGTGACATGATGAATAATTACTATCAAAACAAACCCTACTTTAATTCCTTCTCATTACAATCAAGGTTAATTAGTTCTCTGACAGCAGATTTTACCTGTTCAGGTGACAGGTAAACTATTTTGTACCGGACATTGATCGGTCTATTAAAAGTTATTTTCTTAAATATCAGCGGTTTGTGTCTAATTTATTTAGCCAACAAGATTACCAGAAAACGTATATAAATATTATTTGATGAAAATTTAAAAGGTAGTAATAAAGGTTTTAAGTGAAAAATCGTCAGAACCACATTTTAACTAGTACACTCGTGCGCATGTGTGTAGGTGCGAGCTTAAATTATGCATCCGATTATTCAAAAATGCTAAAAATATCATTAATACCTTTATCTAACGTTCATTTCGAGTATTTTCCTGTAGAAATAACGTGGAAAGAGCTACTTAAACTCAGTTGTGCATTGTAAACGTACACGGATTTTAAGTATCCATCTCTGGTCCATGTTTTACCATTGTCAAGTCAACATCCGGTATGAAGAAAATGTTCTTTTCAAAAACGAAAGTGAAGTTACTGACAGCGTAATTATGCACAAATAAAGAGTCTTAGGCAGATATTAGTATGATGATGTTGCACACTTCAAATGGTGCACTGTCAATTTAACAGTTAACACCAGAACATCGAATTTATATTTTTTTCAATTTATACTCATAGAAATTGGAAATGAGATAAATCTATTAATGACTGAGAAGCTATGTATTTAATATTTTTTTATCAATAATGATGATTTTTCTCATCTATAAAATAAGTAAAGTTTCTGATATTAGTACCTCCTGAGAACCTTCAAAGGTAAGTCTTTTCTGGAGCTCCTTGATGTGTTCTGGTGGTTCATTTAGAACTATAGTACTTCTAGACATTGTTTCTGATGGGACTTCCTGTTTAGACGCTTGAACTGGATTAAAACTTGACTGACTTGAGAGATTTCTGTCTTTAATGACGCCAGCTTGATTGACACTTTTTTCAATTTCCTGTGACCATCTTTCCTGAAGTTGTATCTGGGACACCTGTGTATTTCTAAGTCCCTGTGTGAAGTCTCTCTCACCTATCATGTCCATGTATTGTTGTGTTCTATAATGTGCACGTCTATTTTCATTGTCACATGGAAGAATTTTATTTTCACTAGAATGCTCCGCTGATGTTGGTTTTTCCTTTCTGTAAATCGGAGAATGTTTTACTAATGTAGGCAAACTTTGGTGTGTTTGTGAATATGGTGATATTTGTCTTTGTGGTGTTTGGTGAGACTGAGGAAAACTACTATGATCACATGACTGATTAAGTGATGATGATGTACTCAATCTAGTCTGCTTTGCAGGTGAAGGTGACTCAAGTGTTAAAGCTGGTCTACTTGAAGATCCTGAAAAAGATGACAAAGTGAATACAGAAAAAATAGCATATATAAATACATGTACGCTAAGTGAAAAATATACTTTACTTATTTTAACAATTAAAAAAATATAAATGCATAAAAAAAATAGATGGGGAATGTGTCCATGGGACACAGATGATGCTCCCCCCCCCCCCTGCTTGCATATAATGTTATAAAGGGACATAACTCAAGAACGGCAAAAGTGACGCTACCAAAATTCGTACTTGATCTGTGTTTTGTGGTAATAAGCAATGTGTATAAGATTCATAACATTTGGTTGAGGCAAACTAAAGTTAAAGAACAGAAATGAAAAATTCAGCAATTTTTCCATTTGTAAAGGGGCATAACTCTAGAACGGTAAAACTGACGCCACCAAGATTCAAACTTGATCTGTGTTTGATGGTAATAAGCATTATGTATAAGTTTCATAACATTTGGTTGAAGCAAACTAAAGTTAGAGAATGGAAACCAATTTCTGGACGTATGGATGTACGTACAGACAGACAAGGGTAATACTTAATGCCCCCTCCACTATGGCGGGTGCATAATTATTTATATCCTTGATTTAAATAGGATGGAATAAAATGCCTTGCTGAGCGCAGCCTGATACGACCGCAGAGGTCGAACCCTGAACAGTTGGGGCAAATTTGGACAAAATATTCAAGCTTGATACTGTCTGATTTTGGATTGTGATCCAATTTTTGACATAATATAGGTTTCTGAAACAAAATAAATGTGGTCAAAGATCTCATAAATCAATTGCGCAATACTGTGCAATTGAAGATTTCTTCTTGAAACTTTTCAAAAATTCGAAATTTTAAAAATTTTGAAAAAAAATATGAATCCCTTAAAAAATATGGGAAACAAATCCCCCCCCACCCCCAACTTTTTGAAACCCCCCTTGGAGCAATAACCCCAAAACTCAATCTCAGCCTTTCCTTTGTAGTATGGAACCTTGTAGTACAATTTCAGAGAGATCCATACTCTTACACACAAGTTATTGTCTGGAAACTAGAAAAATGCTTGTTTTTGGCACTTTTTGGCCCCTAATTCCTACATGTTTAGGACAATTAACCCCAAACACAATCCCAGCCTTCCCTTTGTTATATGGAACCTTGTGGTAAAATGTCAGAGAGATACATACACTTACACACAAGTTATTGTCCGGAAACTAGAAAAATGCTTGTTTTTGGCCCCTTTTTGGCCCTTAATTCCTAAACTGTTGGCCCCCATAACCCCTAAAATGAATCCCAACCTTCTACTTGTGGTATTAAACATTGTGGTACAATTTCAGAGCAATCTAAATACTTATACACAAGTTATTATCCTGAAACTAGAAAAATGCTTGTTTTGGGCCCCTTTTTGGGCACCTAATTCATAAACGGTTGGGACCATCATCCCCAAAATCAATCCCAATCTTTCTTTTGTGGTATTGAACCTTCTTAAAAAATTTCATAAAGATCCATTCACTTAAACTAAAGTTATTGTCCAGAAACCAATGTGTCTTCGGACGACGACGCAGACGACGATGCAGACAACAACAACATCATACCATTATACGATCCCAAAAAAATCTTTTGGGTCGTATAAAAACAATAAAATTTAAACCTGATCAAACAAGAAGAGATGAGGTTAAACACATACAGGGGGATTCGGTAAAAATATTATTCATTTCTCAAGGTTACAAAGTCAGTGAGTTTTATGATTTGCATTATATCAGATGGATTAGTTGATAGAGGCAAAATTATTCCAGAACGAATAAACTTCATATCTTTTGTTATTGATGTTAACTAAATGTCATGAAACTATTTCTCATAATTTCATCTTGTGATTTATTTAGGGGAAATAACTTAGGAATCACATGATTCAAATTCATCTTTTCTCTTTGGCCATCAGGTGTAAACATTTGTTAAAATTTAGAGATGCAGTTTAAACTTATCATTTCACTGCTGTCATTTTTCTTCTTTTTTCACACACACAAATGCATTCAGCAAAATTAGAATCAATTTGTATTAATTGGTCATTCCATACCAGGCCACAATTAAAAATTTTGCAGATTGCCCAATCCTGACCCATGTCTGTTGGGTATGGGTAGGTAGGTATGTAGGCAAAGGAGTAAGGCCAGTAACCCTAATAAATGGCCCTGTAAAGGTGCATTTTTAAAACTTCAATTGTAAATTTACTGTGTATGTATTGATAAATGTTTTATTTTTGAAAGTAAGAAAAAAGATATATCTGTTTCATATATTATAAATATATTAGCATGAAATATGTATAGATTTCATTTCAGTCCATTTTTCCAGAAATTAATCATCTTTTTCTACTTTATTTCATGATTTCATATGTGGTGTCGCCCCTTCCCATTGAAATTTCGGTTGAAAAGTAAAGAATATGGTATGTTTAAAATTCGGCAGAAATATTTGTGGGCGAGGGATGGTGCCACTGTTAATTTTTCAGAAAACTGACATATATTTCACCAAATTATGCCAAAAATCAGGTGTTTACAAATTCACCTACATTTATGACGCCACAAATACATCACTAATGATGTAACCAGTGAAAAGCTTTCATAACTGAAACAATATCATCATGATCATGAATATGACATTTTTACATATGTTTTCATAAAATTTTCACAAAATCATCACAGTTAAAAAATTTCAGGTTTTAAGGGCCAAAATATGAGTTAGTGAACCAACTCTTTTGTTTTTAATATTTTTAGAAAAAGAGATACAAAATATATTTAAGTAACTAAAAATGCCACAGGGGATGGCTTGCATGGAAATCTGATAGGTGAAATTTTATCTAAATAATTATTTTGTTTGACTATGGATTTTCAATTCAATGACTAGAACCCAAAAACAGTTAAATTAAATCTACTAGAATATGATATCAGATTAATACTAACTAAACATGGAAAGGAACTAGAAAGTGATGGAAATAAGGGATCAATGTAAATAATATCAAAATTTCATTGTGTAATAGCAAACAAAGCATGTGTCTTTGTAAAGCATGACAAAAATCAAAGAAATATTAGAATCTTCATTGCAGTTTTATATTAATAGGCAAAATTTTACCATTTAGGTACAACATACATTAAGCTCAAAAATATCCGACCGTCTGTAAAATGTCTTTTCAAAAGTTACAACAAGATAATTCTTAAAATTATAGTATTGTGTGTATATCTTTTAAAAGGTAACAGATATCAATCTACTATAAACTGCAAAAATGATCAGTATTTTAAGACCTTCAATTTGAAGTCAATGTCAGGTCATGATGAAATTTTACCTTGACCTTCATAGTGTACTATGACCTTGTGAAATTTGAAAGGTCAAGTGATCCTGAATGAGTCATATAAGCTTGCTTTAAATCACTCCATTGTTTATGAACTAATTTTAGGGCTGTTCCATAATTAAATGCATGGTGGGCATAAGAGGCACTTTTTATTACCCTGACCACTCATAAAATTTTAATTTTAATTTTTCTTATAATTCTAACATGTCTAACAAAATTCTAAGGAAAATGCACCCACCCATGTTTAATTAATTCAAGTGCCACCCATCCTCCCCCGATAAATTTTGGAGAAATCCTGCTGATAAAAGGTTTCATGTTAAAGGTTGGGATCAACAGAAGATTAAAAAGAAATATACAAATAAAATTCAACATATAGTCTATATTCTATCTTATATCAGACTTTTTTACCTTGCCTTCCATATTAATTTTTGTCTTTTGTTTCCTTGTTTTAAATAGTGGTCAACCTAGTGATGCATGCAGCTCATCAAGACTGTGCACAATTTAACTTTTACAATACATGGTCTAGATATTTATAAAGACTAAAGAGTTTTAAGACTGCAGCTTTTGAGCACAGAAAATTGGTTCAACCAAACCATATTTTGTCCCTGTTCCCAAGTCGTTCTATTTGGACCTTGTGTTGTTATGCTTATTGTTTTCTAGGGAGATGGGTGTTGGTGATTTTGTGTTTAATCATACTGTCCAAAATTTTTGGTAATCTCTGTTATCCTTTTCATGTATTATCTAATTCTATGAATATCTTATAATCAAATTTGTAATAATCACCTTCAGAATGTGACCTTGACTCATCATTTTCACGGGACTTTACCACATCCAACACATCAGATGACTTATAACCTCTCAACCATTGTGGAGTGTCATTGGGAGTATCATCTAAAAAATAAATAAAAACATAAATATTTATTTTCCTTCTATGATGACCAGATTCATATTAATATAAATATAATAAGTAAATCAAAATAAACATTTCATCTAAAAATGCAATTAATTTCAGTACTTTGTTTTTCCTATTATATAGGTGTAACCTTTTTTATAACGCTAAAAGGAACACAGATCTATTTATACACAAATTTATAAATATCATTAAAAGGAAATCTAGGGTATACCTCCATGAGACTGCAACTTACACACACACACACACACACATAAAAAATCCTCTTTTTAAATAATGAATAAATTGACAAGTTGTGATTTATATATATACATTTCTCTATAAATTAGTTCTAACCAGATTTATACTTTTCATGACTGGTTGCATTTTTATTATTTTTTTATAATCAGTTATTCATCATTGTTCATTGGTCAAAATTCAATTGTGACGTCAAATTTTCTTGCTTCCCTCTGAATTTCATAATCGTGAAGACACGAAAAAAGGTGACCATGCCTAATGACGTCACATATTAAAGAACACTGTGACCTTTTTGCAGATAAATTGAATAAATTGCTTCGCAGAGCACAGCTGGATACGACTGCAGAGGTCCAACCCTGAACAGTTGGGGCAAAAATGGACGCAATATTCACGCTTGATACAGGTCTGAATTTGGATTGTAATCAAATATTTGACACATAAAAGGTTTCTGACACAGAATAACTGTAGTCAAAGAACTTAGAATTGGTTATATGATTTGAATTTATATTCAATTTTTTGCTTTTGTGCAATACACTATGCTGTTGTGTATTAACCGTAATGATGTATTTGAATTACCATCCTTACACTGCTTTAAATTATGTTTTGTACTAAAGTATTTGTCCATTAATCAGGACACCCTTGTTTTTCCCCATTTTTTGCCCCTAATTCCTAAACCGTTTGAGCCATAACCCCCCAAAGCAAATCCTCACCATCCCTTTGTGGTATGGAAACTTATGGTATAATTTCAGAGAGATCCATACACCGTTCCACAAGTTATTGTCTGGAAACTAGAAAAATGCTTATTTTTGGCCCCTTTTTGGCCCCAAATTCCTTAATGATTGGTACTATAACCCCCAAAATCAATCCCAACCTTCCTTTTGTGGTATTGAACCTTATGGTAAAATTTCATAGAGATCCATTCACTTAAACTAAAGTTATTGTGTGAAAAACCAATGTGTCTTCGGATGACGACGACGCCAACATCATACCAATATACGACCGCAAAATTTTTGCGGTCGTATAAAAATACAGATCTATACAGCTAGTATACATATGGTCTAAAAATCATTAGAGAAAACAGATTCCACCTTGGAAACTCATGCTTTACAATATTTCTCTACTCTCAACAGTTAAATTTTTAATATATTTAAAAGGCAAGGCTTGCCAACTTTTTTAAATATATTAAAAATTTAACTGTCGAGAGTGGAGAAATATCATTTCATATTCAATGCGGTGGTAGAATCATATTTGTACCTATTTTGTGTTGATGTGGTATAAAGTGATTACTAATAAATTATTCATTCACTATTCTTGGTACATGTATTTTTGTTTTCAAGTTATTTAATTTTATGATTATATGTTGTACTTTTTTATTCAATTTTCATGATGTTTCAATAACCCCCAACAGTGAATATACCTAGATAAATTTTGTCTAATCTTCATATCATTGTGTCAAATCTTTTGTTGTCATAAAGCTGAAATAGGGGAAGTTCTACATGTTCTAGTACGAACTTAATGTATGTTTGTATGTTGATGTGTCAATAATGAAGATGTTGGTAAAAATGTTTTGTCCATATATATTCTTTATGTACAAATGTATATATACAAACCTAGAACCATATGGCCATACACTTTGTACTCTGCAACTTTTATATCCAACCACATAACAAAATGACTCAGCATCCATGGATGGATGTTTCCAATCAAAGATGTAAAATCTTTCTTCACAAATCCCAAATCCAACATCTTGTATTGTTTACATGAAAAATAATCTGAATTTAAAAAAAATAAATGTTAATATAGTGTCAATTGTGTCTATTGAAAGACTACATGATGACGAACATTCAGGGCTTGTGGTTCAATGGTTGTTGTTGGTTGCTGTCTGTAGTATTTGTTTTTCATTTGTTACTATAAATTAATCAGGCCATTGGTTTATTTCTAATTTTGTCAGGTAGGTAATCTTTCTGCACTAAAGTGGTCAGTTCATATTAACCTGTTCATATATCAATAAAATTAATACAATTTTGAAAATATTGAATAAATTTACTATTTTTGCAATTCCAGGGGCCAAACATATGGATTCATACCTCCTCTTATGTTACGGCATTTTTTATGCGATATCTCCTCATGTTTTTGTTCGGCAACATGTCACAATTCAAACTTTGTGGGACCCTCCAAATTATTAAATCCTCTTGACCATTAATAAGCTTATAGACTTGATGTTCAATCATGTATTGAAAAGATATCTTCTCCACGTTCTTGATACATAACATTTTCACAATATTTTTGCCTATTAAAGTTGATAATAACCTTTTTCTTCCATGTATATTACATATATATACATGCAAGAGTCACCTCAGTAGAAATATAAACATTTATCTTCCTCGTTAGAGACTTGTCGGGGGGGGGGGGGGGGGGGGGGGAATTCCAGCTAGGGGGTCTAAAAAGTCCCCTTTTAATGGCCAAAGTAAATATTTTACTTCTTCCTTTTTTCTTCTCTTTTTTTTTGGAGAAAAAGAGGGGGGTGGTAATCTTTTTCTTATGTTTGACTTCAGCCGCCCCCCCCCCCCCCCCTGTTTAAGACAAAATTTGGTATACCAATGGCGAATGCAAATTAGGCTGTCAAAAGATTAAACGGTGACAAATGCAAAATTTAATCAAAACTAAAATAGGAATGAGAAAGTAAAATAAAAGTAAGAAGATGAGGTATGATTCAGATTCCCAATGAGACAAAATGACATTGAAGTGAGAAAAACCAGGGACTTTCTATACTTTCTATCATTGTTATAAGTGACCAGTCCCGTTAGTATAGACTGTCCCTGAAAAAACCAAGGATTTAAATCCTTGGAAAAAACATTTTTTTTATTTACAGCTTCATACATGGTATTACAAAATGTAATAGAAGTGTATATTTACTATTACATTCTGTATATATATATATATACAGTATTAAAATATGTGCACCATGCTGATATCTAGGAGACAAAAATGGTTGTCACACGTTTTGCTGTTAACATGGTTAAGGGGATGATAATTTGATTTATTCTATTTGGGGGGGGGGGGGGGGGGGGGGGGGGGGGGGTTCCAGACGAAATATTCATTTTCCCCTATTGCTAGGCACCTAGAATTATTTATTTTCAATTTTTTACACATTTATTATTTCCTGCATTCCGTAGGACAGAATATTCATTTCATCCTGTCTTAAACAGTACAGGCAATAGTTATACTTTATATATATATACAATATAAATACACGTTAATATCGTTTTAGTTCTTTTAGGCCAGGTTAAATGTATTAATTTTCAAAATTCTCCTTCCTCTTGGCCCTCCCTCGTATATGTCTGGATCCAGGATGCTCTCTGTGGCGTTCTTTCTGAATTTATCAATGTCACAACCCCGACAAGCTAAAATAAACCCTATACTATTATATCATGCCAATAAATGCCGTATGATCCCGGTATGGCGTATTCAAAATAGAACATGAAGTGTTCTTGAATCAGAATGCGTTGATTCAAGGTTTACTGCTAAGAAAAAAAAATAGAATTTTACAATTTAAAAGAATAATACTGACCTGTTATTTTGTTATATATAGCCCTTAACCCTTTATATTACAGTCGTAAGTGTGAACAGTTGACACAAAGTACCTTTGTATACACATGTTGTGTGTAGAAGACCTTGACTGATATGACACGCCAAGTCGGCAGTCAAGTTACACCTGCGTGTAAACCACGTGGTGTAAACATTTCACAGGCTTACAAGTAAAACGACTGCCGGAACTGTGCAAGATTCGAAAGGGTCTCTTAACAAAGCTAATCACACGAATCATGTACTTATGTACACAATGGACATATAAGACATTTTTATTCAATCATGGGCCCATGTCAGACAAGCCGCTTAACAAGTTAGATACCGTTATAATTTTTATTTAACATCATAATACAATAGTTATTATAAAACATGCGAGAATAAGAAAATACGTAATACAATATTATTGTCTCTCTACAATTACTACATGTGGTCCTTATAATAATTATGGAAGGTGACCAAATTTGTTTTTAATAATTATATTACCATGATTACCTTATACCAAGGATTTGTATAGTAAGATGATACATATCCTTGCAATGAGCTTATTCAAATTCTGATAATACAACCGAATGTTTATTTAATTGTTACTGTTTGAGTTTTATCCTTTGTAAAATGTGTGTACGTGCATAACGTACCATAAACATTGTGCAAACTTGTTTAATATACCATTATGACATGATGCACACAAATAGTCATAACCAAGCATCTATGGTTTTTTCCTAAAAAAATATTCTGATCCCTAATTTGATGAAAAAAAATATTGTGGTCAAGCAGATGACAAAAAAAAATATTCTGAATCCAGATTTCCCCCATATCTTATATTAAAAAGATTCTGACTCTGACAAATAACCATACCCCCACCCCCTTGAATTTAAAAGGTTGCTCCCTTAACGTACAACGGCAAATATTTAATTTGAACGATCAACAGTACATATGGGTTGTTTATAAATCAATAATAGGAATTTGAGAAACTGCTAGATTTCACACATTGAAGGTATAACATTTTCTTTCCGTAACATGCCAGGAATCATAATCATTGCTACCTGATGAGCCGATTGCTGAGGGTGTTGTCAGTCTTTGATACCGTATTCTCGAAGTTAATTTAAATTCAAAAATGTATTTTTTTTTTTTAAATTTCTTTTGTTTAATTGTACCTGTATGTTAAGCGAGTTTTTCTTCTCCTTCTTGAACTGATACTATGTTTGTACGTTCCACCATAAGCGGATTGGGGATTGAATGATCATAGTGAAAAAAGAACTTTACCCCCACTCATGCTCCTGATTCCGTAACATCGTCAGCTGTTGTGTTTTATTGCATTCGGTTGTGTTGATGACAGACCACCTTTAATAATCCATGTTAAGTCAATTCACACCTGTCTAGACTAATGATGATTAAGATCTTGCAATGATGTACAGACACCTGCTAAGTTTTAATTTGCTTGATTCTTATTCTTATAAAAATAGTGTACTAGACAAAAACATGACAATGATATCACCAATCAAAAAGTCTTCTTTGAATAAAGAAATACTTTGTTTTTCTTCTTTGCCTATGGCTTAATACGCCTTCAAATTGAGATATTCCTGTCTAGTTCTCTTCTCGGTAGGCTATTCAAGTGTATTGCTTAATATGGTTGTCTTATATATACAGTCCGCCAAAAGTTAAGCACCACCTAAATATAACTGGCAATATTTTTTTAACTATTGCGAAAAAATATTTATGTTTGGTGTTATGAATTGCTTTTTCATTTTCTATCGTTAATTATCCATTTTTAGATGGTGACGTTCCCTTGTCACCATCTTATGGTGTTTATTTATCCCAACTTGTACGATTCACTCGTGTATGTAACAACGTATTAGATTTTAGCGAGAGAAATTTATGTATTACTGAAAAATTATTACACCAGGGTTTTCGATATCATAAACTAGTCAAAACATTTACTAAATTTTTATCATTGGTATAAGGACATCATTCGTAAATATAACTCAACATGCAGATATCTTATACGTTCGGGTATTTCACATCCAATCTTTTATAGTAATATTCTTTACAAAGCACAAAAATGTCAGTATTCACCTCAAAAGCTAACAAAACCTTTAAACAGACTTATTAAGAAGGGATATAGTTACGATACTGTTGTCAGGTCATTAAAGATTGCCGCCTATTTTGGCTTTAATGTTAATTCACTTATAGGGTCTTTGCATCGGAATTAAACACATTTATTCTAAAACCAGTTGTTGGCATGACACGGGTTATGTTCTTCTCATATATTTTATGACGGTATAATACTAAACCCTTAACAGGAGGGATTGTGCCTGATATTTATATGATGAAGACATAATCTTTTAATCAGTTTAATTGAGGTCTGGAGCTGGCATGTCAGTAACTGCTAGTAGTCTGTTGTTATTTATGTATTATTGTCATTTTGTTTATTTTCTTTTGTTTCCTATTCTGACATCGGACTCGGACTTCTCTTATACTGAGTTTTACTGTACGTACTGTTGTGCGTTTGTTTTTTCTACATTGGCTAGAGGTATAGGGGGAGGGTTGAGATCTCAAAAAACATGTTTAATCCCGCCACATTTTTGCGCCTGTCCCAAGTCAGGAGCCTCTGGCCTTTGTTAGTCTTGTATCATTTTTAATTTTAGTTTCCTGTGTACAATTTGGAGTTTAATATGACGTCCATTATCACTGAACTAGTATACATATTTGTTTAAGGGCCAGCTGAAGGACGCCTTCGGGTGAGGGAGTTTCTCGCTGCATTGAAGACCCATTGGTGGTCTTCGGCTGTTGTCTGCTCTATGGTCGGGTTGTTGTCTCTTTGACACATTCCCCATTTCCATTCTCAATTTTATAACATACACTAAGAAAATTCATTACGACCAAAAAAAAATAAACTCCGATAAACACGCCAAGCAATTTTTTTATTAAAGGTCATCTACACTTTTTCGAATACACTTTTTCGATGCCTTAAAATCATCTTCCTACTGTCCCGCGTACAGGTGAAATTTGACCTTCACCAAGTCACTATGAAATATGGCAAGGGGTAAGTTATATGTGACTGAACCTTGACAAGCAATTGACATGTCAAAAGCCGGTAGGAGCACTAGGTGCATAGGTAACCATTTCAATGTTAAACACACCGTCATTGTCAGATTTTTACAACGTCATGTGGACGCAGGAACTGTAAATTATAGACCAAGGTCCGGAAGACCCCGTTTAACTACCGATTGTGATGACAGACTCCTTATTGGTTGTGCTAAAGCCAACCCATTTACTCCTGCCCCACAACTTAGACACCACTGGCGTCAAGGTGGTCATGTTAGTGTTCGAACATTGGTCCGTCGACTTCATAGAGGCTACCAAAGAGCACGTCGTGTTGTCAAAAGACCTGCCCTAACAGCCAGGCACCGTATAATCAGGTTTCAAAGGGCTAATGACCATCGACGCTGGAACATGAGAAGCTGGAAAAATGTTCATTGGTCAAATGAGAGTCAGTTTCTGTTACGACCAATGGACGGCAGAATACGAGTTTGTCGTGGAAATAAAACTGACCAAAACAACATTTGCCCAACGACTGCATACGTTGCTGGTGGTGTTTCAGTATGGGATTTCTTCTCGTACTGTTGTAAGGTGGGTATGCATATTCTGCAGGGTAACATGAACGGACAGACATACAGGGATTTGGTGCTGAGAAACATTGTAGTCCCTCATTTTGATAATCATCCACTTGCTTCAAGACCCTTGTGCATGTACGACAATGCTAGACCACACAGGGCAAGGATTGTAACCGAGTACAAAGAGTAGAAAGAGCAAGAAGCCATGGACACTATCTTTTGGCCTTAATTCCATGTCTCCAGATATGAACCCTATCGAACATGTCTGGGATGCCATTGGCAGAAATCTCAATCGCAGAGATCCACCTTTGCAAAATCTTAGCGATTTAAGAAGCGCAATTGTTGCTGAATGGAATAAATTTGCTCAACTAAAGTTCAGAAGGCTTGTACAGAGTATGAGACTCCGTGTTGTGGAACTGTATCGGAAGAGAGGGTGTTACACATCCTATTGAATCAAATATTGACATTAAATTTGCCGAACATACCAAAGATTATTTATAGAGACTTTTAATGATATTGGGTGATTAATTGTGGTAAAAAAATGAAATCACAGCGAAACTTAAATTCCGTTTCTGATTTGTGTAATTTTCACTATTTCTATGAACGCAAATTTCAAATGCATAGAACCTGCATACGTGAACAAACTTAAGTCTACGGTTTGTTTATGGTATATGTCAGCAAAATTGCTACATGAATATTTTCTCTTTTTCGAGGATTAACTGATTTTTTTAAATGAAAAAAATTTCGATGCAATAAAAATAGGGGGTGCTTAACTTTTGGCGGACTGTATATAAAAAATCAGTGGATATGTCACTATCTCCTCCATGTCAAAAATCTACCTCAAAATAATGATATTCTTTTGGAGTCTACGATCAGTGAAATGTTAAAAGTAGCATATATAGTAAGGCCAATTTTCCTCGAGTTTATTTCACACCAGCCTCGGCTCATTTTCAAAATGTCTTTCAATCTTCACGTTAATTAATAGTTTCACAGACCAATATGTACATTTTAAAATTCTAACAATACAACGGAAAGAGGTCATCAAATTAGAAACCCTTGAAGAAAGCCCAAAACCAAAATTTCGAGAGATTTTGCAAATTTTGATTTATAACAAAATGTTTAAGGAGGACATTGTATCACGGTTGTTTGAAGTAAAGCTATGTATTGTCTTTCGGGTACACATTAATTCATTTTGGTTAGAGTGATGTCCTGCATTGCAAAATTTGACAAAAACATGTGAAAATCTAAATCTTGTCGAATCTTATGCTTGAAATCAGATATTAAAGAGTCTATATTATGTTTAAAATATTGTTCCCCAATTTTTCACTTTTCAATAAAATCAAAAGCATATTTAGTGTTACATGTTACTGGTGAGGCAATTTGATAAAAAAAATTTACAAATTTTACATATTTTTGTCAAATATTGCAATGAAGGACAGCACTGAGTGAAAAAAAAATACAGGGGGAAATTGGCAATACTCCTTTATAAA